AGAAATTTTAACCAAAGTTGAAATGAAAACTATAGAATCCGCAGCACATTAAATAATTTAGTTCCTGAGCTAGATTCACACGAATGTAATAATTTTTGAGCTGTTGAAAAAGCGGAAGTGCAAAGAATTTTCTGTCGCACATACTTGCAAACAGTAACTCAGATCGACCTTGAATCCGCTGTAATGCTTAATTCCTAAACGGTAATTCACAGATGATTTCCTTTCCACTAGGCAATCGAACTTCTCGATTTATCGAGAGATTACTTTCAATCTGTAAACACTACACGAGATTATTTTTTTGAAGCACTTGCAAAACACCACAGCAGAAGAATTATCTGTTATTTTTTAAACACTGAAAAAACAAATCTGATGATTCACTTCTTTCACATTATCTTGGATTTATCACAAAACGATGATTTGAAGAGCAGAACTAAATTTTCCATTGAGGTTTCAGGCTGCAGGAAACTATCCTACCGGCTTAATTGTCATAATAAAAGCACAAGGAAATGACGGAACACTATAGATGCGTGATTAGACCCATATTGAAGAAGATTTTGATTGCGTAGTATGCTAGTAATGCTAACTTGGTAATATCTAAAGAACTTAGCAGTCGAGGCAGTTTTAATTCAATTTTTATTTGCAACTGATATTCGTGGCCACAGTCACTTGGCACTCTAGTCGTGCCTTTCCACAGAAGATTTACATTTTTGATATTGTTGAGATAGAAAGCAAGCCAGCGAAATTACATCTTAGCACAGTAAAGAGCAAAAGCTGAAGTGCGTACTTATGAAAGATGGAAGCACGGCGAAGAGAAAAGTTTTGGTTTACAATTATTACGTCATCAGAGCTGCACGGGCCATAGAGTGATCTAGAAATGACGCAATGCAGAGAAGTTATTACGATTTTAGACTAGAGAGGAAGAATTAATGTTTATAGTTATATTATAATTCTGATTCATATAATTTTTTCTTACGGTACAACTCTAATATACGCCGTAATTTCACCAAATGTGGCGATATGTGTTCTGCACTGGTTTTTGGCGCGATTGCGTGTTCTATGGCAACCCTGTTGACGTTGAAAAATCTTTCGCTGGAGCTCGTTGGTTCGCCTCTGTGTCTGAGAAGATGGGAGGGAAAGATAAAATGGTAGTTGTTGAATTGAAGTTCGGCAAAAGGAAATATGATTGTGGCTATCCTCTTGAGGGGTAGTGGGTATTTAGAAGTGTGGAAAGAGGGTCTGGGAGATTATTTTTAATGGCAGTGCATGATAGAAGTAGGGATTTGTGATTTTATTTATTTGTGAACCATAGTATAAATTTTCTGGATAGTGTGTCTGGCTGTGATGTAAATACGATAGTGATTACGTGGCGGCATGAAATTTATATTTCTGCTATTCGAAAACGCATTAATTCATGGTAAGTGCATTTTATTTTATCCTTGTTCTTATTTTGTAGAATGTTATGTTCATTGGTTCTTTAGTATGAATTTCTGTCGTTATTGTTTTTTTTTAAATTGTTTGAAATTTATTTTAGTTTATTTTTTTGTTTAGTGTCTAGACTGTACAATTCGTAGATGTTTTTTTAAAGTTGAAACAGAACGCTGTGTACATGGTATTATTTGAAATTTATTGTTGTTATGTTATTTTATTAAAGCGAGGAGTGCGTAGATCGTAGATTCCTTCCTTGCCTAAATTGTGCAATTCGTAGAATTTTTTTTAAGTTTAAACAGGATGCTGTGTACATGGTATTCTTTGAAATTTATTGTTGTTATGTTAATTTATTAAAGCGAGGTCTGCGTAGTTTGTAGATTCGTTCGTTGCCTACATTGTGCAATTCGTAGATGTTTTTTTAAGTTAAAACATGTCGCTGTGTACATGGATTCTTGTCAAATATTTTTGGTTAGAAACTTTACGTTTTTGCTATCTAAATTTTTTGTTTTTGTTTCGGATTTTTAGCTAAATTGTGTGTTCAAAACGTAGTTTTTGCATGTGCGAAAACCGCGGTTTTGGAGACATTTTAGGCTAAAAGTTCAAAATGTAGACAAAAAATTTAGATAGTAATATGGCAGCGTAAAGTTTCTCGCCAAAAATATTTGGCGAGAAATTTGGCGACTTGAGGGCGCATATCAGAGTAGTTCCTATCTTACATATATACGTGCATGTGTGTGTGCAATTATATCTAGAAAAGCTGATTGCGTAAATGTTGATCCATAATGGAGAGCACAGCCAAGGCAGACTTTGAGGCAGACTTAATAACAAGTAGATGGGACTAAAAAATTCTTTTTAGCTCAAAATGGGTTAGTTTTGATTTCGATATCGTTTGAGTGACTAAATAATAGCGCTCTGAAATTGTTATTGGCCGTTTTGAGTTCGCGAAACCATTTACATCATCAGCGCTATATGGATTAATCTGGAAATGACGCAGTGCAGAAAAGTTTGTTAAATCAATTACTGTTTTTAGAATTGGAAGGGGAAACACCAAAATTAAAAAGAAGAATTAAGGGGTTATTGCAGATTTAAGTTAAAATCTTAATGATTTACATCGATTCGGTTTATAAAAGTGTGCACAAAATAGTGTTATAAAGTTTATATAAGCAGTCATCTGTGATTCAGGAAGAAATTAATCCATTCAGCAATAATTCGTATGGGAAAAATTGTTTCAGTTTATAAACATTTCGGTTCACGAATGGAGGAATGAAGTTTGTGAACCCAGGTTTCACTATGTAATAATCTATATTTAGTTTGGTTGATCTTTGGATTATGGTCACTTGGCGATTTTTTGGCGAACAACTCTGCTACAGCAACCCTCTATTTTTTTTCCCCGCCGCCATTTTGTCTTCACGAAGTAAAGACATGTTTCTTTTCTTTTTATTTACTGAACACTTTTTCCAACAATCTACTAGCCAAATTACACTTATACTAGAAATTTTATCTGACAAAACTGCTTAATCATGACAAATATTCACTGCAAAATTGGGAAAAAGTGCACAATCGCAGACTCCTTGCGCGTTTTTCACAATACACATACACATAAACCATGTACACGTCGACTTATTTTTACTTAAAAAAACATCCCAGAATTGCACAAAAATGGCATTGCGCACACTCTTCACTATATCCATGTACACTGCTTTTTTCTCATAAATTAGAAAAATTTCACGAAAATGCATGACAATTTTCTGAATCTTTAAACCCGGTAAAAAGAACATATATGAAATTACCTTATCGCGAAAAAGTATATACCCTTTCCAAATATGAACATTTCCACGTATAAAATAAATAAAATATCTAAAAACTTTTACCTCTAAATTATCTATTATATTATAAACGTCACCAACGAATTCATACCGCAAACATTACAAATACTTAGTGTCAAATATTTAAATTATTTCCATGCACGTTTACTTCAACTAAAACGTATACCAAATTCCTACAAACATAAAATTCCACAAAATAAATATCATTTAATTAAAATATCACTAAACCATGTACACGTCGACTTATTTTTACTTAAAAAAACATCCCAGAATTGCACAAAAATGGCATTGCGCACACTCTTCACTATATCCATGTACACTGCTGCTTTTTTCTCATAAATTAGAAAAATTTCACGAAAATGCATGAAAATACTCAACGTATACTACTCAAACATATTCCAAAATACTACAAACATATAACTCACAAAATCACGATTATTAAATTAAAATATAATTAAATTAAAAAACACTACTTTAAATATAAATAAGCACGTACATTAAATTAATAAAAATTAGATTACAATCCTAATTACTTTAAACTAAATCATTGTTAATAACAATTTTCAAATAATACCATTTTAATTTATTTACTCCTTACATTTAGAACAATGCATAAAAATAATATCCTCAAGTGATTAAAAATACTAACTTACCTAATCTTCTTCAGAATCTTCATTACGTCGCTGCAGTACTACTGCTAATTTTCTAAATCCTAAATCCAGTAGTCAACTGGATGTCTATTCACCAAGTAATAAGAAATTAATAAAAAATTTCACCTATACTCAAAACTACTTTCAGCAAACCACGTACCCTTCCTTACACTCCTTTTCACACAAATGTCCATTTTCACCATATTTCTTGCACCGGCATTTAAACTTGTAATATCCTTCCTTTCACACAATCTCAACTTATTATTATTATCAGATAAACGCATTAAAAATTTAGAATTCACTTTACATAGCGCCATGCAATCCGAAAATTAATCAACACTATTTCACACAACACACAATGAAGCTTTTCCAAATTAACCCCCTTTTTCGATTAAAGAACTGTAATTCGTCCATTAATGTCACGTTTCACACAACACAGAATATAGCTAAATACGAAATTTCCAGATTTCCCCCCTTTTCCGATTAAACAACTGTAATTCGTCCATTAATGCCACATGACATATCTCATGATCTTTCATTTCCCTCGCACAAAATAATGCGTAATCGGAACTGAGTGCTTCTCACATTACCAAAGTCCTAGGTAGTAACTTTTATCACCTCCAAAATGTCGCCAAACTACCAGTTACCATATTCCAAAGATCAGCCTTTAGTTTCTTTTTTACGATTTTATTAACCCTCTGCACAAGCCTATAGATTCAGCAACCTATTGATTTATTAGTGTGGGATAGATATAGATTCAGCAACCTATTGTGTTATTAGTGTGGGATAGATATAGATTCAGCAACCTATTGCGTTATTAGTTATCAATACGTATCTTTAATCTGTGTGCTAAACAAAACTAAACTAAATAAATAATCATTGTTACTGAGTAAATTTATCACCTATATTACACCATCAAATGATTTATATTCCCAATTTATCTGTCTACTGTATCCTATAAAGCTGTATATATTACATCATACATTCATCGCTTATCAGGTACATCAGATTTGATTAAATAATGTATAGAGTTTTAAGCTCATATTGAATCGTGATTTTCACAACCGAGCCTTGAGAACTTTGTTTTAACTTCCAGGTTCATTTCTTTTTAATTATGGTTGCTTTGAGGTAGCATCATAGCATATCTGATGGCAGCTTGCACGGATACACTTGCAGTTGTCGATTTGCCTGTACAGCGTGAAGATTCTCCAACTGAAGATGGGTAAGGCAATTAACGTGTTTCTTCGTATGTTTTCTGTATACACACTTTAATTTTTAGTAGTAAACGTATACTTATAAATCATAAAAGTCCTTTATCTTTTTATGAATTATCATACCTAGGTGTAGATTAATCACAGAAAAATATTAAAAAAAGTTCTTGAGAGTAAAGGACTTTTTCATCTATTCGACTTTCCATTTTCTGTTTCATCTGTATTCATATGGGGATGGTGGATGACCAAACTATTATCCTTTCTACCCGTATTATAAATTAAAAAAAAGTATTACGTTTTTTTTAAAGAAAATTTCTTAGAAATTTGTTAAAACTGTGTCTGTACATCTTAAAAGAGAGTTCGAAATCTGTAAGTTTTAGAATCATAAAATTGTACACTTGCTATTTTTATAGCGATTTTATCGTGAGATGATTACAGTTTACGTTATTTGGAAGCCATAATGCTTTTTGCTCTTTTGAATCCTGAACTTGGTAAAAACGTGTTATCAAAGGTAATCCATTTTGATTAAATCACACTGCATTGGAAATCATAATATGTAATTAGTCACAAAAATTCATTTGTATAATCTTAATCAAAATGGTGTTAAAAGGCTTTACCGTAAACGAATAGTATTTAGTTAGATTCCATTGCGTTAAAATCATATATCGCCAGCACAAAGCCAAAACATGAATCTACAAAGTCATTGTTTCGATTGAAATGCCTTTTAAAGTTTTAATATATGACAATCAAAATCGTAAAAACAACCTTGTATTTAGCGTAGGTATAATGAAACACTCAATCGATTTCGAGGGCAGCTAAAGGTCCCTCCTCATCAGGAGAAAGAAATACCTAGAAAGAAAGAAGAAAGAAATACCTTTTAATATGTGGTTGGTTCTGAATAAAGTCGAACTGAAACGTTTTATTTTTATATAATATTTCATATTTTATCACTATTTTTTATTTTCAAATTATGAAATTATAATCATTTTTAAAATATGTGTTTTGCCATAATTCATGTAACTTAACATAATCTAACCTTGCAAAACAAACTTACTTTTCATGATAACTCGAAGTGGTTTTAAAGCAGTATTTACATACTGGCGCAATCACCTTGGCGTAATTGGGAGATTTTTTACAGATTAAAAAGTTTTTTTTTAATAGAAAGATTCCCAAATTATAGATATTTATCGTCAGTTGGTAAACATTATCAACATATGAAATGAAAACATACTTTAGCAATTTAAAATACAAATTTGAATTATTAAAAAATATTACGTGATACATTAAAAAATAGAATAGTTACATTCTTCTTCAAATATTTCTGTAATTTTTTTGCACTCTTCTTCCCCCGATGATGTTTTTCGCTTAAATAACATCAGAGAATTGCGGAGACTCGACTTTATGCAAACCTCGGCAACAACGGCTAACTAGGAAATATATTTCCTCGTTGTTCCCTTTAGAAAATTTTTAGTGAAATTCTGCATTCCTTCAGAAATTTTACAGCAGTTTCTTCCTTTGTTCTCAAATTCCACAAGTTCAAACTTTAAAGCTAAATTTAAAGGCCAATATATCTCGATTCGTATATAAAAACCGTTTGAACATGGAATACAACAAAAAAGAACACACAAGAAAATAGCGGCGTTGCTTTGACTGAAATACTGTTATGAGCATGGTTGCCAGAAAAATGGTTATGCTCATGATTGCCAGAGTTCGACCCATTCTGAAAATTTGGCGATTTCTACTACGATGGTTGCGTTAATACGTAATTACCTGTAATGCTTTGGTCTAAATTATTGAAAACTACATAAGTTCTTCACAGTCTGAATACATTTCGATATCAAAGTCGCGCATGATGTGTTTATTTATTAAAGATATACTCAGGAAAATATTTATTCACACCATTCTTTTTCCTGAACTGCTATTTTGTATTTCAAACAACTTCTTACAGCTAGCATTATGTTGAATGTATAACTGCATAATTCATGAAAGAGGTAGTAACTTCATGTAAAATTAAAACAATTCTATAAATAAAGTCGTTTTCTATTTTTTTTTTTTTTTTTTTTTTTTTTTTTTTTTTTCCGTAACGCTTCCAGCAGTTGATCCATAAGACATTTTATTTCAATAAACTATCAATTTTTAACTGTTTATACCTTTCAAAACTTTTAACAGTACGTAATTGAAATTAAGATTTTTAAACTAACTCTTTTTTGTGTTTTTGTAATTGGCAACATTTTAAAGCAAACTACTGTACGTATTTTGCAGGGAGCATCTGCAGGACGAAGATCTTCGATCCTGGGATATCAATGACGAATCAGCGGAGGAAGATGATGATAAAAAAGAGAACGCATTCTTTCAAAAAGCGATGAAAGTATTCAAAGCAGTAGTTTACCTATGTACATTTTGCATCATATTGGCATGTGGAGTGGCTTCGAAAGGAACTATTTTATTCGTGACTTCAGTTATTGCTAAAGAGGCACAATTTCCTGCATGTGATGATAAAATAGGTAAATGTATATCTCTAAAATTCACTTGTCCAGTATCTCTATTTATATAGTTTGTAACTTTTTAAAATCAGAGTTTATGATAATAGCACTCTTATGCAAATACTATAATTCACTGAATGCAAATTTATACTATCTGCTATCTTCATTAGTTTTATAGGCGACTGATTTAGATATAGAGATTTTTATTTTATCATTTGTAATGTGCGACTGATTTATACATAAAGTTTTATTTTTTATTTTTAACTAGGGATTTAATTAATATACTTTTAATATACAACGAAGGACACCTTAATTAGACAAAAATATTTTATTTTTTATTTATAATAGGCGAATAAATTTGAAATATAATTTTGTTTTATCCTTTATGATTAGCAAGAAAATTGAATACAAAGTTTTACTTTAGCATTTGTAATAAGCAATTTGGAATGAATAGGAAATTTTACTTTATCATCATCTGTACTTTGAAAAGCATTTTATGTCAATTTTTTTCTAAATTGATGCAGTGAGGTGCGCAGTATGAAATCTGTATAAATATATATGTGTATGTCGTTTTTAAAGGCACAACTTTCAACTCAAAGTTAACATATAACGATACTTCAACACCTAATAAATATAAGATTCTCCAAGTTTCAAGCCAGTGCATAAACTTCTAGTTGATAGCCCTTCATAATTTAAAATTTTATCTATAGCAACATATTATGAAGCTTGAATTTCTAAAGCATTAGATGTACTGAGTTTATGCACTGAGAATTGTGAGACATAAATGAGACATATCCACTCATGATCTGCACTATCTCATATCCAGAGTGAAGCATGGTATGGCCTGGTTCCAGTTTTGGTAGGTAACTGAATGGTTTTGAAAGCCATGAAAATACGCTTGAAAATCTTCCCTGTCTTGCACGATCTCTAATCTTGAACCTCTTTGGTTACAGGTAGTGGAGAGAGTTGAAAAATACATTTCTAGCCTCATGAAATGAAAAGCCACTATCTTGCCAGAACATAGATTAAAATACCTTTAATAACTGTACATGATTTGACAATTTCAATAATTGTACATTAGTTATTTCCAAGAAGAACTGATGCAGTATTGGTGTCCAAAATAGAGCTTACTTCATGCCGATAAAGTATTACATCGTAGATGCAAGGTCCTTCCTTTTCAGTGTGCCACTTCTATATAGATGGAATGCTTTCACAGTATATGAAGCTTGGTTCTATAAATTTTTAAGGAGACCTTGTAAAGATCCTAAGTTTTACTAACGTTTATTTTATTTTAAAACTGTACTATCACTTCTTATTTTCTACTTCTGGCCAGAATTAAATGCTTTAACTTGTTTATGCAAATTGTCTTGCTAACGCCCAAGTATTTAACTTGTGGCTTTCTGCCAAGAGTGAGAGAGAGAAGGAGATTTAGGAAGCAAGCCGCTTGCCACTGCAGTCTTTCGAGTTTTCACTCGTTTGATGTTTGCCTTTAAGGCCAGAGGTTTAGCCCTCTTGATATTTGAAAACGTCTTGTAATTTCAGCAGCTCGGCGTACTACATACGTACCCTTTTAAATAAAGGCCAGTCTTAGTGCTAGGCATTTGTATACTAATTCAATGTTAGCTTTTAGTTAGAGTTTTAGTTAATAGTTTTATATTTTTACGTTCAGACCACAAGTGGTTGGTCTCTGTATCTCGAAGTTCGGGAGTACCTGGAAAGTAATAGAGTGTTAAGTTGCGCGCTTCCAACCTGCACGCAACAAAGTGGTGACTGCTGAAAACTGGAAATTAGGCAGAGTCTTGAGAAGGGTTTAAGTCCCTTTTTATTCAGCTTTAGAAATTACAAATGCGTGCTCTTGACGCTCACAAACTACGCCGATCCGGCGGTAAAATAAAAATAAGAAACTGAAAAGAGATAATAACAAGTCACTAACTACGAGGCTCTCTAAACGTAACTAACCTCACCGCGTTCTAAAATACCGCTGATAATTCAGCAAACTCTGAATATTACGTTGAAAGACTAACAATTTGCTGAGGCAAGCACACAGGCCGAAACGCGTGGTAATTCAATTTCTAACTAGCCACCTCCACACTCGTGGAGCAAGAAAGCACACTTCGAACTCGTTTCCTTTCTATTTAACTCAGAAATCACAAATATTGAATTTTAGTAGCACAGGTTTGTCAAAAGTCGCAAATTTGCGAAAAATCGCCCGATCTGGCAATACTGCTTGAAGCACTTACAAATTTTCACAGTTTAATTAGTAGAAACAGATTTTTTGGCTTTTTGCCATTTCGGCTTACGAAGGTTTTAACGGGAATGTGAGCGAGGTGTGTGTGTGTGTGTGTGGGATTATGGCAAAGCCTCGAAGGCTATCTGCCTAAGGGAAGGGATGCCTTCGTGGAGGACTTTCTAAGGGAATGGCTTGTATACACGTTACACATGGGGAAAACTACGAAAAGCCCATGCAGCCAGTCCGTTCGCGGGATTCGAACCTCGGACCGAACTACCAGTCATAAAACGAGAAAAAATTCATATTAAGTTAAAACTATTTTTAATTATCTTTTTCTCACGAATTCAAACAATTTAGCAGTATTTATTTAAGCTAGTTTTATTTAATAATATTTTTAAAAAAATTAATCTAATTTTGTTTTAATTGATTTTTAAGAATTTGTAAATAAATTAATAGAATTTTAATACGTTGTTTCTGAAAGTCATTTCCTTTTATTTAGGATTAGAAAGAGACGAGAAATATGTGGTCAAAATTTCGGATGGTGAGAGAAGAAGCTGGATATGGTGTCTTCTGTTCATACTTATAATACCTGAGATACTCGCATTTCTTCGCAGCAGCAAGAACTGCATATTTAAAAAATTTGGAAAACCAAAAATCTCATCTTTTCTAACGGTAAAACAACTTTTTAGTATTTACTGGCACGAATCAATAATCATTTTGCCTGATAGTTTTTTTTTTCCGTTCCTCATAGAACCTTCCATTCCTTATACACAACTCAATCTTTTGCTTGTCAATCATTAATTTATTTAGCGTTTTATTTTGTAAAGATTTATATATCTTAATTTAGTTCCTTTCCTATATCGTATGAACTGTGCCTGAAAGGTTTTAGGACTAAATTGTTTGAATAGATCCAATTGCGCGATTACAGATAGCACTAATTATTCATATTTTTTGACTAATTTTTTTTTTAAATATTATCCGCTTGCGAAAAAAAAATGAAATTTACCTTTCTTATTTCATTTATGCCTTTTCATTTTATGCATACCTTTCTTATTCATTTTATGCATTTAGTGTTATAAATTCAAAGATTGTACAACGAGAGGCAATAAAGCTTAATCCTCACAATCCAATTCCCATCAAGTAGTTTGTTGAAAATATGGGTATAATTGTTCTTAATCATCCCCCGCCCTTGTTAACGCGGATTTGGCTCTGGGAAGTGAATCCAGAAGGCCTGTGAATGTGGCAAGATATGTACAGCATTTACAAGGAATGTATGCACAGGACTAAATAAAGATTAAAGCTGTTTCCTTAAAATGTTGATTTTTTTATGAATTCACTCTTAAATCTTGTGCGCACTATATAAGTAGAGGAATTCCTATTAATTTTTACCACAGTTTAACACTTTTCTTTCAACGAACAACGAGGTGTCAAGAAGCATTAATTTGTAACATTTCCTTCTCGGACATTCTTTCTGATATCTCTAAAGATATATGTCCCTCTTTCAGCTTAAAAAATATTAAGAAGGTAACGACAAAATCCTATTTAAATTCTGAAATAAGGAATATAATTAGCTACGTTATAGTAGCGAGAGAAACAACGGTTATATTGCAAGCATTTGGAAACAGCTCTTTAATTTGCTCATGAGCAATGGAGCCAAATGTCGTATCTACTTAGCTGATAACATCATTATACTCATTTTGCCATGTCTTAGCATCAGCAATATGCATTTCAATTGTACAACACCACACTTTTAATCTTGGTGTTTGGTATGTAGAAAGATACCTTTAAGGTATTTATAATCACAGATCGACTTCATTTAAAAGTACTCTGGTAAAAATCATTAAAAAAAGCTAGTTTCTAGATTTAACTAGTGCTTAACTAAGGGGATGATAGAAGAAAAAGAATTCTGAATTTAAAACATTTATGTCATTCCTTTTCAGTTAGATGATAAAAGATACTGTATATAATGTAGATAATTCGGCTTCCATTTGTCGGATCTAAAATCTTCTCTAAAGCACTCAGAAATGGACGTTAGCTTTATAATATCAAAAATGGTTTTTAAGTTTTCTCAGCTACATAAAGTTAGATATTTTAATTGCATTACAAAATGCAAGATATTTAAAGCAATTTCTCCAAAGAAGCCATTCCTATAAGCACGCATTTGAGGTGTAACATACATGACTCAGCCCTTAAACTGAGATCTATCGCTGAAACTAAATTAATCCTGTATTCAGATGGTTTAGGGTTTTTGGACTAAATCTCTGAAGAAGTTTTCTAACTGTTCCAAAGAAATTTGCTAAATAATTCACTGAACGCATTTTGGCACAAAATTTGAGCGCACTTCGCTATACATCCTATATTATAAATAAAGAAAAACCCTTTTCTACAATAGGTCACTACTCGTATTTTGCCTGATAGTTATATTAAATTAAATGTCATAGTCATAGTCATACTGACGTCATAGTCATAGCCAAAATTAGATGTCATAGTCATATTGAGGCACTACTTGTAGTACTTCAATATGACTATGACATTTGATTGTAAACTAATGTGATTATTATCTCTCGAGAAGATTGTAAAATAAGTCCTCAAATAGAATGAATATCTTGATTGCTTCATTTTCGAAAAGTCGTTATTTTTTTATGCTGCATTTTATCTTCTCCGCTATGCCCCTTCAGGTATAACAACGAACTTTTATCTGCTATTTAAAATTCAGTTAGTGCTGTTTCCATGTAAGTACTACAGAGCATTTTTTTATTCATTCTTTCGAGAAAATATATGTCAACAAATCATCATTCGTTAAAATAAAATGGTCTTGCTCAATTAATGTAAATAAAATTGTCTGAGAAACTCTCTATGGTTCATAAATGAAGCATTAATGATAAATCTGCGATTTCTCTGAATTTTGCAATTTATCGCAATGAAATAATAAAAACTTTCGATAATATTGCAGGACTACAATATAGTTGTTCAAGAAAATGAAATTGCTAATAAAACAGAAGAAAAGACAGCAACGTAAACTTAGTAATAAATAATTAACATTATGTATCAAATTAAGCTATACACTATGCTAGTTCTCTTTAATATATATACTATCTTTAACCGTAATACATAATTTATTCAAAGACCATTGAAATAAAAGATATCGAATTTTATCTTCCCAGCCAAATGCTGCTGAATTTCTTTGAAGAATATCTGTGAAGATACTTTCAAAGAAAAAAATGCTGATACTGAATCACACGAAGGAAAACTGATAAAAATATAAGCAGAATATTTGATTACTATCTGGCTGTATAGAGAAGAATTAAATATTGCTGAAAATAATTGCTCGTTCCTTTAATATTCTTTTTACGTGTGACCGTTTGTCGTATGTAATTAAGATCGAAAAACTATAACTAATTCTATGCTACATAGTGATGGATTTTTATTCATTTATTAGACAATTGTATGATTATTTCTACTTATTAACTGTTTCAAATCTAGCTTTTACCTCTAAACTGTTACTGAAAAGCTAAGATGCGAGTTTATCACTGAGAGCTTAACTAAACGAATAAACGATGAAAGCATACAAACACAAATAGATAATTTTTAATTTGAGTCGATTCTACTTCACCATTCGTGAGGGGCAAATTAAAATACTACTAAAGCAAAATTTCGAATCATCTGGACTTGACAATGAAATAGTCTTAGTTAAGAATTTATGTATTTATAAATCTGAGTACTTTTCTAAGCAAGACTGCAACTTATGGGTAGGCAACTAAAAGCCAGCTCAAATCCTAACTTACCAACCAAGCAAATGTCTTCATAGGCGTTTCGCTAACAGGATATTGTGGAGAGCACACAGTCAAACATTGACCAACTATACTCATATTCTTATCTTAACTTTATACTAGAGTACATGCCACTCAAATCTGCATTATTATCTGGAATAATCGAGTTTGTGACGAAATGGAGTATACAAAATAGATGTAAATAATCTTAAACTGGGCCGTGAAACTCAATTGTAATACCCTAAATAGTTTTAAAAATCTAATTCTGCTTTAAAGGCAATACTGTTAACGTATGTAAAATATTGTTTATAATTTTTTTTTGAACCTGTAAAAGCAAGCAAATAGTTCTTAAGCCGTTTATAAATTCATTAATGCAGACGGATACAATGAAATGTTTACTAGAATTCAGATTTTCTTAGATCTTAAACAGCAGTAACCGATTACACAAAATTTAGATTTTGTAGATTTGTATTTAGTTCTTGCTTTTTAATTTTCAGATCTGACACAATCAAAATATATAATAAAGTAAACGTTTATGCTTTCTTCATATATTATACAATTTTTTTGTTTCTCATTTTTATATGTATAGTCATGTAGTTCAAATCTTACTCAAATTTTATCTTTGCCATCGATCCAACTAATTTAATTAAAGTTTGGCATAACTTGACTTTCAGGTTTTCATCTCAGAATCATTACATGTGATTGGTCTAACTGTAATGACTTTCGTCGTCTTACCTCAACTGCATGTGCTGCAAGCTCTGTGTTTAACAAGTGGAGTTTGCGTGATACCTGGCCTGTTGAATTTGCTTTCCAACTGGAGCTCAGAATGGGATACAAAATCAGGTTTAAGAAAAATCTTGGACTTAGCTGCTTTCATTGGCCAAGTAAGTGTTTTTATGTGGGCTGCCATGAACTCAAACAAGACAGAACTGTGGCTAGCATCAGCATGTTTAGTACTAATTTCCTGCGCATGGTGGGAAAATTTCATCAATGAGAATACTTCGAATTGCCTATGCAAGGTTAAAGAAGACATCGAAAAAAGTAGATATTTCATTTATATATTTATTTCCCTATGGAAGATCATTTTCACATTTTCATTAGCTCTCATTTGTCTATTCTTCTTGAATGAAAACGTGGAAAACTTCGTTGGGAAATTTTTGGATAGTTTTAGAGCACATAATGTGTCAGTACATTGGACACCAGTCACGGATTATACTATTCCTGATCGAGTTACTCCTCCACCGCAAGTGCTAGTTCCCTCATTAAAATCTGATCCTCGTTTTCCAGTAATAATAGCCACCATCCATGTCTTGACATCATATTTATGCTATTCTTGTGGGAAGTTCGTTTGCAAAATTCGTATTCAAGAATTCAGTTACGCCTTTCCTCTCTGCTTGACTGTTCCACTCACATTTAGCTTATTAAGCACAGCTTGTGTTGCCAAGAGTAATTCTTCATGTGCTTATTCCAAAATCACGCCCTACTTATTTTGGAGTTGTCCGAAAGAATCACTGACCCATTACTTCACTGAAGAGGCTGGTTATCTTTGGATATTTTGGTTGCTATCCCAAGTTTGGATCACGGTTCATATTTGGACACCAAGATGCGAAAGAATGGCCCCTACAAATGAGTAAGTTTACGATTTAAATTGATATTCCAAATTAAAAGCTTCATAGTACTTAATTTTATTTGTAGAATATTTTAAAAGTGCATTTATCATGTATTTTCTCTCTTCTTTCCCCCATGCCTTCGTGGTGTAACTGGAAGGACGCTTGATGTGTATTTAAGAGATTTAGATTCAAACGCTGATGAAGGCTCTGCACAATTTTTTACGTTTCCTGCATCCATATAATATAATGACTCTGTATATTAATAACAGTTGTATTACTTTAAATATAGACAAGTAAAGATGTATATAATTAAAATATCAATTTCTAAAACACAGAAATCACTAAAATTTATTTCTAGTTTATTTTACCTGCATGTCGTCAAACGTCACTTTTCGTAACACTTCTACGAAATGGTTTCATAGTTTGAGGATAAACTACTCATTGAAACATACATCTTTTCCGCAAAAGTGTTTCATTCAATATTTTTTTTTACTCTTCATGAGTTTTATTTCTTTCTTAATATTAGTTCAATACATTATTTCAATTTAAAAAGTATTAAATGTAAAACTATTCTTTGAGATAAATCTTCTTGATGTAATAATGCTTAAGTGCCATCTGCTCGATATGGAGGTTAGGAGCCGGCTGTCTTAGTGCTGGGGCTTCAATTCAAATTTCGGTTGAGGCATAGATATATGTCTATTCCTTCTTCCTGTGGGCATAAATTATTTTGTCTCTATGATGCACTCTGGGTAATATTCTAAATTTCAGATGATTGACGAATTCTGCCATGTTCTACAAATGCTTGAGATGCCAAATGTCCAACCAATAATGGATTAAAAAAATCTAAAGAAGAAATAAAAATCTAAAGAAATATTTTTATTAATATAATGTAATGGAGATAAGTTTTACACAATTATTTTAATAGCGGCTACCCTCAATTTTTAACGAATAAACTATATGGAGTTTCGCCTCAATATTTGTGAAGCTAACAAAATTATAGAGGAAGATAAGTGTCATATATTTAAAGCCTCTGTATACCATCTATGTACTTAAATTTTTGTTCTCAAATTAAGCTTAGAAGCAATGCTTTCATTGTCAGACAGTTCGGGTTCATCGTATTCAGCCCCGCTTAATGCGGTTTTGGATGGTTGAAGCTTGTCCAGTTGGATGTGTTATATATACCGATACCGGTATGTAATATAATGTGGCCTATAAGCATTTAAAATTGTGCTTTTGAATGCTCTACTAATGGAAAAATTTGTAAGATAGATTTTCTTTCTATTTCAAATCTTAACTCTTTGTTTATGGATCTAAAATTCAAAATTGCAAAATTTTTTAGCCTGATCTATTAACTTTTCTCTCTCGCTCTTTTTTTAACATTTCTTCTTACCACATTACCTAAATCTTTACGTTGACGTATTTTTTTTATGGTCAACTGCCTCTTTGATGTGTCTCACACATGGGTGAGAAATATTCAGACTCTTAGCTTTGGATATGTCCGAAAATCTTTCTTCATTTAAAAATAAGTCATCTGAAGGCAATTATTCTTTTAAAAAATGCTGTTTCACTCACGGACATTTAAAAACTACTTTCAGCGTTTGTCGCTTAAAATTATCAATAATAAATTTGAAAAAAAAAGTGAAAATATTTATACCAATAAGTCGTTCAAATGAATTTGTAAATTTAAAAAAATTAATCACAAACAATCAATGCACATTAAGGAATTGAAAAATTCTATTAGCTGCAAAAATTTTACAAATGGTTTATTTAAACTAATTGAAATGCTAGTGCCAAAGAATAGAAAAAAAAAGTTTATTGAAACTGAGTTTATTACTTTATTTTACCGTCATTTAGTGACATGAGTAACGTTTGCCCTTCCTAAAATTCCGAATGTTTTATAATAATTAAGAAAGTATTTTATTTATAGAATTTCAGAATAATTTTTTATGCATATATGAAAATTCAATAACACTATAAGTTCTATCTAGATTCTTCCTCAAGATATTTCAAATAGCTATATAACGTAATAAGTATCCATTTTTATCTTTCAGATTATTTGTAAATCTCATGTATTGTACAGCTGTTATTGATCAAAGTTTAGCACTAAACAGAAGGAAATACGAAAAGGTAAGTTTCAGTTTAAGGATTCATGTTGCACATGTTACAAGAGCGCAAAATTTTTATAATTATCTTTATTAATTCTTATTCTATTAAAACAGAATTAAAATATTTATTTAAAATTCATAAAAAGTATATTAATAAAAAGCATATTTGGGTCCAAGAAAAGCCTGATCGATGGCTTATAGTTTTAAGTTGAATTTCAACTTTCCTCACGCAAGCTCTCCTTTTATACTTTTTCTGATTTTTTTTAATTTTTTTTTTTTTATTTTTATTGATTTTATCCAGTAAATATGCTGGAATTTCTTAAAGATTGAAACGATACTCTTCTGTTACCGGGATCGTATTTAGAAATGTATGTATGTATATATGTGCGTATATGTGTGTGTACGCACACATATAAATACTGTTAAGAATTTTGTAATTAGTTAGATATTTTTAGTAGAATTATAATTAAAATTGTTTTATTTCTCCGTGCAATGCAGCACGAGACATATTTTAAGAGAGAGCTACTCCGGAAAAATTAAAAATACTGGAGCACGTGCATTTAACATTGAATTAATTGATATCTCGGTAATTTATATTTAAATTGAATAAATGTAATTGACTACTATGTTGGCTGTAATCGTAATTCCGCACTCTTTTTCTTTCCAGAAATCTCGAAAAACAGAATTTACTATAAAGATTTCGCGCGTCCTGTTAAAAAGCTATAAAAGCCAGAGAGAGAACACCTCAGCTCAGTTGCTTAGTAACAGTTTTGCGAGTTGTTTAGTTAGCTGCCGTTGTTTCGAGTTTAGCGTGAAATCGGATTAGCTTCCTCTTTGCATTGCGTTGTATTTTAACATTTTTAGTAATTTAGAGTATAACTACTGAGTATATTGCGTGATGTGGTGTACTTGTACGACTATATCTGAGGAAAATTCCAGCGTTTTGTTATATTTCTTTTGATAAGAATAAATTTTATTAACATTTTATCGGACTTGTGCATTCAATTTCTTACGAACCCGTACGTCGGCAACAATACATGCGTGCATATATGCATGCATACATTAACACATACGTACGGATCTGAATCCGGTCATTTTTTGCCATTGAAATTCTGCTACCTGTTATGTAACATTTAGAAATTATTTTCTATGATATTGCATTAAATTTTGCTTCTGCTTAGGAGTAATCTTCTTATTTAATCTTTACGCAGTTATTTACTACTAACTGTTTAATAGTATTTTTAGATATTTATTTTATTGCTTTTCCAAAATTTTAAGGTTCTATTTCATTTTGCATTTTTGATCTTAATTCCTTAATTAATTTGGTTGCTGTTTTTACCGCAAAATAGAATGGAATACTCGCATGTGTTACTCTTAATTCGTATCATATGCTATATATAATGTATGCATATAATTTAAAAAAATTTCGATGTAAATGACGTAGTTCCTGATGTAGATGGTGCAAAAAGACTTGCCTGCAGTTATAGCCGTTCATCACTTTTTATTTTTGGCCAAACTTTCGTGAAACAAGTATAAACAGGTAAGCTGACCGAAGATACGAGCCTATTCTTGAACAATTAAATATATTCGTACTTTTTATATTTTTATAACACCTTTCAAGTAAGAACAATTATCGACGGATTCTATTTTCGCTTGCTCTCTAACTAAAAGTATAATCCATGGCTTATCTTTCTTACTACAAATGCGTCATAAAAATGCGAAAATGCGAATGTAATTCTTCATGAATAGGCTCACTGATGTCTTGCACCGGCTGGAACTGCGTAGGTCTCTTTCAAGAATGTTTTGTAAAGAATACAGAGGCTGTTCGCACATTTTTTAGACGATTTTGGTAAACGGTAATAAAAACTCGTTTGCTGCAAAAGAAGTATTGCAATTGTACTATGTTTTAAAAGTCAAAATTATTGTCTGTGGCCTTGAAAGTTTTGTTTTTATTCAAAATGGCGAATTTAACAAAGCAGTGGTTCGAAGGCTACATTTAGGAAAAAACGTCAAATTGGAGCCTCAAGTGGGACAAAAATTCCAAACAAGTATCCAAGGAAAAAACGGACATCTTCGACTATTGCAAAGGTACGTTGTTTAATGTTAAACGAAAATGCCCCTAGTCAAAGGACAGTTGCAAAATCATTAAAATGCTCGGTATCCATTGTAAACAAAATGATAAACGTTGATTTAAATATTAAGAAAGCGATAAAACGCAATGTGCATCGTCTTCCAAAGCATATCGCTTCAACGCAGGACACGCGCTGCAGAATTCTATATGAGAAACACTTATCCAAAGAAAAATGGAAAACAATTGTCACAATAGATGAAGCATGGGTGCATTTAAATGATTGTAACAAAAAAAAGAGCCATTTATTATCATAAAAGGGGAGAAAAAAAAATTAAGTACATGGTTCAAAGAATCGAAAGAAAGTTTTTCTAAGGGGATTCATGATTGTTGCTGATTTTTCTTTATAATGGCAAGTTAAAAATAAAGAGTGCAAAAAAAATGTCAAGATTAACTCCAAATACTATCAGGAACATATTTATTGCCAATTTTTCTGAATGAAATACCATCGCTTTACCCACAGTGCCATCAATCTGTGAGAATCCATCAGGACAAAGCTAGCAGTCACACATCAAAATCCACTGTAAATTTCCTAAAAGAAATGGAACAAAAAACTGGTATCAAGGCCATACCCTTCACTGATATCCCTACTAAATCTCCCAATGTGTCACCTATGGATTTTTGTGCTTTCGAACTTTTAAAAACTGCATTATCCAAACGTCCAAATTGTCTCAAAATCCTAACTGGAAAGCTGTTCGGTAGGAATGGGATAGAATACGTCTTCTGCCACTTCAAAAGGTATTATTATCCTGGAAATTGCGGTGTCGAAAGATAGTTCAGAATAAGGTATGTCAAATACAACATTTAAAACACAAGAATTTTATGTAATTTAGTTTTGTGAATACAATATACAACGTCTAAAAAATGTGTGAACAGCCTCTGTATAAAGAAAAGAAACGTTATTATAAAATAAAATTTTATATAAAAATCATAAAATAAATAATAACTAAAAAGAGAAAAATGTTTTGTCACATAATTTAATGGAAAAAAAGGGATTAAGTTATTCTCTTAATGAAATCCATGTCCAATTTTTTATCATAAGTGATAAAAGCCTGAACTCCCTTCATGAATTTATTACCATAATTGCTTATATGTTGGACTGTGCAACTCTATTAATAGATTTCATTATTTTGGTGTCTGCTCAATCGGTGCTTGCTACAGAAAAATTTGCTTCAATGAAGGAGCTTATGAAAATATTAATTTCTGAGCATTTCCTTTTATTAAAAATTGAATTTAAATCGGACCATAAAACAGTTCTGTTCTTTTTATCACCACATAACACAATATTGTCCGTTTTGCATATGGTGAACATACTCTAAAACAGCTCATATTAGACTAAATTTCACGAAATGCATAACTGCGATTTCTCAATCCTACCTCTGGGGAAAAAAGGAAATTAAATATAAATACTGATTAACAATTTATATAAAGTGTCATATCCTTTGGAAGCCGTTGTTGTTAAATTATCGTAACAAACTTCTGTATAAAGTAAGGTCAGTTTATAATATGTGAAGGCGCTACAAGCTACTAGTATGATTTATTTGGCTAAGATTCAGAAATACGAGCTGAATTATAAATACGGGTTATTTCAAGTTAGGAGTGATATTCTTTTTAACGGATTTTGAAGCTGACACAAAACTTATCAAAATTTAATAGGAATTCTGTAGACCGCTGTGTAAAGCGACAAGTTTATGAAAGCTAATTTTCAATGATAACATGGATTTTTGAAAAGGATCCTGAAATGCTAGAAAGTGTCAAAGCATGAATGTATTATTAGTTAATGTAAGTTAGCAGTTATAATAGCATTAATAATACTAAAATAAAATTTGACAATCTTGCTTAAACCGCAAAAAAGATATTAAAGGCAGATATGGCCGGAAAGCTCCCAACTAATAAATTTTGCTGTAAAAAAATTATTTATTTATTTTTTATTTTATTTGCTTATCTGAAATAAATAAAAAGCATAACAATTTAAAAGAATAAGAAAAAAATCCTATTACACAAGCCAAGTGAAAACGATTTAAAACTTTTAACACATTCTGAAAAAATATTAATAATAATAATAATAATAATAAATAAACTTAGGTAATTTTGAAAACTTAGTAGTAGATTGAATCAGTGCCATTTAGTTTAATAATTGTGGGTTTAGTTGATAATTGTTAAATAATTGGGGGTTTAATCTTCTTTCTTTCAGACTGAGCAGAAACAGGAAGCACCCAGAGCTGTGACTCGAATCTTTGCATGCGCAACTATGTGGCACGAAACACCAGAGGAAATGGAATTGCTTTTGAAATCAATTATGAGGTAAAAGAAATTTATAAATAAAAATGTTTTGTACAAAGTATGTAATATATGACGCTAGGAATATCTTTTATTAAGTATAATGAAGCATTTTGATTCATATCACTTAGATATATTATTAAAAAAAGAAAGTAGGAAATACTGTTTTAAGAAATATCTTTATTGCTTTTAAATCAATTTATAGAGCAGTTACAGATTAGAGAAAGTGTGTGTCTTTGAGATGATAACTTTATATTTTTAATATTTAAATTTTCATTTTACGGTATATAGAGATCTATGAGTTCATATAATGAAATGTCATTCCAATTACAAATAGAACATCTGCATAAGAGTTTTTAAATAGATACTACTGGGTGGATAATGGTTATTTTTTTTCCTTTGTAACCAACAACGCTAGGAATTGCTTCTTAAATGATATCTTAGGATAATTGTGAAGTATGCAAGCATGTTTTGCTCTCTATACTTATAATCGGACTGTCCTCAACTCCATCGACTCAGTTTAAACTTTAAGCACACGCAGCGTAGAAGCAGACACTGGGCTAATACGCGTAGCTTCAAGGAGGATCTGAATTAGTTCGGAACAAACGTCTGCAGAAGGATTCTTATGAACATCCTGGTGCTTTGACTAGTTTAACGGGCCACAAACCTAGCAATAATTCTCCACTACACTTCGTTTGGGGACAGTTCTATACCTCCCGTTCTACTGGGCCGATTGACGAAATTCAACTTGCGTTTTTCATGTCTCGAAAGCGCGACTTAGGATGTGTATTAGATTTATACATAGCATTTTTCAAATATAGGTATTTTGACACAAAATTGGACTTTTCCTGAAATAATATACCAATGTTTTTCCATATTTCAGTTCTACGACTCAAACTACGCAAAACTACCAAGTTTTATAAAAATTGCACATGTAGATTTTACAAAATTAGCCCTCAAAATTTTAGCTCCTCAATGTTAATTGAGTTTGGTATATATTGATTAATCTCTCTTTTTTATTAAACTTATTTTATTGTTCCTTTCACATTTCGAAATTCAGGTTCATTCCAAATAAATTGCACCCAATTTTTATTATTTGTTTTTAAAATTTGTAATTTTAAATAATTTTTAAAAAATTTTCCAAAAAAATTGAATTATAATGTATAAAATTTATACATTATAATAGTATTATCTTAAAGTAGATGTATTTCTAAGCACACCTGCAAAAAATTACAGTTTTTAATTCAAAATTTAAGAAGCTATTCGTGAATTTATACATTGGCGCGTTTTGAAATTTGGCATATTTGTTGAAAGCAATAAAACATCAAATATGGTTTAGACACTTTTCTAAAATTATTTGAAAGTAGGAACGATGTGTTTTTTCTTCACACAATGTACAATGTAAAACGGTAGGAAAGAGGCGCCTTTTTTCCTACTCCGGCATAATGGAAGGGGAAGGGAAAGGAAAATTAGTTGCCATATATTAAGAAGTTTGTCAAGTGAATTATTCTTGGAGCAAACTAAAAAAATTGTGCCAATATAAATTTTTGAATTTCTCCATAAATTTCGCACCAAATTTTACAAATGTAATATCTAGGCATAATTTGAGTCGTAGAATCGAAATATGGAAAAAAATTGGTATGTTATTTCAGAAAAAGTCCAATTTTGAGTCAAAATACCCATGTTATAACAATGCTATATATAAATCTAATATATGTCCCAAATCACACTTTCGAGACATGAAAAACGCAATTTGAATTTTGTCAATCGGCCCAGTAGAACGGGAGATATAGAACTGTCCTTTTTTTCGCAGTGTACCTTTTTAGGTGAGTAATGTCGATTTTCCTGATACTCGCTTGATTTACAGAAACTAATGCAGAATTAAAACTAGGTCTAATATCAAGCAAAAGGAAAATAACAATAATAATAATATGACAAAAAGTTAAATAAATTTTCCTCATCTCACAAGCAAATCGTAGCAAAAATGAAACCAGAATATCATCCAAATAGAATTAAGCAGAAAGTGCGTTCCAATTAATTTAATTTTTTTCGTTATCTCAGATTAATTTTAATATGGTTGTTGAGTTTAGAAAATGGGCTTTATGTAATAAATATATAAAATTCAAGCTAATCAAACGATAATAAACGCTTTTAATTAATTCTACTTTAATTTAAATAAAATCATTCCATTGAATTTTTATAGGTTAGATGCTCACCAGTGTTGTCAGAAAACAATTCAGGAAGGATTATCGATAAAAAATCCTGATTATTATGAATTAGAAGGTATGTTTTATTTATACTTACTGTATCGCTCTACAGTGCTTAACAAATCACAGCAACCTCTAAGTCTGCTAAGTTCGCTTTTAGAAATGTTAATTAAAAAATAAGGAGTGTTTTAAAACAGAAAAGACAATATTATTGAAGCAATTTTCTTATAAGCCTAATTTGTTATTGTTACATTAGTAGTATAAAATACATAAGATATGTACGAAGTGAAAAACTCGTAATAATTTTAGTGATAGTAAACGAAAAGTTTTGCAACTTCTTTAGTAACTATTCCTATCATGGTGATCAAAATGACTAATACAAACAAGGAGTTTCAAGCATCCAAAGTGTCTTTTACTCTTTAATATGAACAAATTTCATTTCCTATAACTAAACTTACATGAAAGAAATTCATGGCATGATTCGAGCATGTTAAGATACATAGTACTTCAAAGCTGTAGGATCTCACCTTTTCGAGAAGCATACACTAAGTGTAGACTCTGAAAGACCTAGCGAATTATCACTGTCTTGTTAATCAAAGGTAAACGTGAGAAGACTGTAAAAGACGTTTATATTAAGAACTCAAAGAGGTTAACAGAAGGCACTTCTTGTGCTTACCAAATTAAACTAGTATTTATAGCTTAACTCGAAAACAAGGAATTTCAATTTATAGAGTCTTACTCTATTTTTGGGAGCATAAAATGTTGGTTCTACATAGAAGAAAGTAGCGAATACTTGTTATGTCTTTGAAGAATAAATACTGTAGAAGAAGGTTTTAAATAACCTTTTTATTTGAACTCAAATTTAACAAGATGCACGCACTCGGTGCTGACCATTACCACCACTTGTGGCTAACTTAAATTTAATAGAAAATAGAAGTGTAACAATAATCACTGATAAATTTGAATAGCTAACGACTCGCTCCTTAGCTTAACCGCTAAATCGGTTGCACACAGCGCTTAGAATATCAGTGCAAACTCATGGGTGTCTATAAAGTCTCAATCACATTATGTTTCGGCTACGCGGGACTTGACGTCGATAGGGACAATTCTCAGAACCCGCACAATTCCAGGAAACCCATGTAGCTAGGTTACCATTTTCACATACTACAAAGACTTGAACGCCGAACACTAATCGATTATCGCTCAGATTGGGATCACGTGCGGCTTCAGAAGCAGAACTTTCGTCTGATTGGGTTGTCTCTACCTTGGACTGAGCTCCAGCCGAGACATTTTCGGTGAAGTTTGAAAAAAATCCCGCGTAGCCGCAACATTGTTTCCGTAGCTAGGCGGGACTTCGCTTCAGGCGGGATTCTTTTTTCTACGAATCCTCCCGTTTAAACCAGTGCTACCAGAATCTCGTTTCTCAGAAAAGTTCCGTCTAGCAGGGACTGTAGTCATGTGTGATAACCTCTTAACACCGACTAGACAGCTAAATTAAAACACGCAGCATAAACTCGGAACTAACTCCGATACTCTCTTCTCGAACTCTTGAAACGCAGCTTAAATACTGCTTCTGAAACATGTTTAGATTAGCATACTACATCATTTAAAATTTACATTCAGGCAGAAAACTGAAAAAGGGAAAGGAAAGTAAAACTAAAAAAAATCTGAACGGTTTCAGATTTTAAATTACGTCCAAAGGAGCGTTTTTTTTTTTTTTTTTTTTTTTTCCAACATTTTGTCTGTTACCTTTATTTATTAAATATCACTTTCCATATTACTTAAACCATAAAATTCAGTTCAAGAGCAATATCGCAAAATAGTTTTCAATTGAGTATATCTTTAGAATTTCAGATACAAAGTCTAGTGCGCTGGAGATAAAAGTGTTTTTTCTGTACAACATTGACATTGCTCGCTTTGAAATCCTTGAGTTTCTTAATAAAAAATTAGTTTTGTGATGTAGCCGTTCCTCAATAGACACTAATGCCGGCTAGCTTTAAAAGGATTTATTAACAGAGCACACAGGAACGGTTACAAACAAAAGAAATATACATAAAAATGAAACATATACCAAATGGAACATCAAACAGTTGAATAACAGAGACATAGTAAACTAACATCATGGCGGCTGGAGTTCGACTGACGTTTTTTCATATCGCCACGAGATGGCGTTTAAATAAAATAGTTCGGTTACAGTTCATGAGTTCATGGCGTGAATAAAATAGTTCAATTACACTTAAATAGGTCTGTTACAGTTTAAGGTTTTACAAAATATGAAATTGATCATAAAACAAATTCCAAATTTCAAATTTGGGCTTCCACATGCCCATATTCGCAGCAGGATTACGTCATTCAAAATTCGATGGCTCTATGTACCGTTTTTTATCCCAATGCGAGAAATATACATACATTTATGCAGATTTTTCATTATTTAATTTCTTCAAATATAATCCAGGACTCTAACATTTGGTGGCAACAGTTTGAAAAGTGAAACGGACATTTTATAGTGAACCAACGCAAAAATCGCAAAACGAAAACAATAGTCTTTCAGGGACAAACCCCTTTGGACTAATAATTGGTTTGAAAAAAATAAAGGTCTTCACAAATTTAACTAAATTAAATATAAATTTATCCCAAAGGCTACACAGAAAAGGTTAACGTGCAAGTTGACTCAACCCTAACCAGCGTGACAAGCACTATTCGCAAGAATAAAGCAATGCCAATAACAGACTGCTGTCATAGAATTTCAGCTATGCTATCATGACCTTCAACAGGCGGAACACACTCTACCTAAGCATTCTAAAACCTCACTTTAAATACTATCTCTTTCTACCTCATATGAATGCACGCGAACTCAAATTAGCATTCTGGCAGGAAAGGGAGAATGACACTAAAAATACTTAACGTAAAATAACTGGTTAGATAAAATAAACACTTTGCAAAGTTAAAACTACTAAGTTGTATGCCCACTTCGATTGAAAGACAAACGTTTTACTTAGAGGTAGCGTTATTAATTTATAATAGTACGAATTTATTGTATTATTTACAGAATTCTAGGGAGTTTTTCAAAATTTCGCTTGCACGCAAATTTTACAGAATGATGATGATGATGATGACCAGTGATAAACAGTGATAACTTCATGATTAAATGATAACCAAAATTTTCATTTCAGCCATTAATTAATTTCCTACATAATTTCATTCTTCATAATTGATTATAATTAGTTTTCGTATTTAAATAATTTTCATGCTGCCTTTATTAGTATTTATTCAAATAACAGGTAGCCCTTCTCTAAAATTCACACCAAAACCCTTGGCAGGAAATTCTTATTCAAAATTCCATATCAGATCTAAGTTCTATTAATATTTGCTTAACTTTCGTAGCACTGAACAAATCCCTTTCTTGAACTACAGTCACTTCTGTCTAGAAGTCTGTCTAGTTGCAGTCCATTTTTTCTAGAAACAATGTCCACGCTGAGCAACATTTTTCTAAGTTTATTACAGTAAATTTTTGTCCTTTAAATCTGCACATAAATTTGTGATTTGCTTCTTGACCCCTAACAAATTTTCTCTTTTTTTTCTTGCAACAAAATTAACTTTGCTGGGACAACAAGTAGACTTTAGCTAATGTTCTTTCGCTTTATGCAAAAGCAACAACTGAGCAAAAGGCAACCGCTATACTATAAAAACATACTCATGAAAATCTTCATGAATATATTGAACTTATCGTGACAAATGTGTCATGGATACGTGCCTTACTAGATGATAGAAAGATTAATTCAACGTCATGTAAAGTTGGCTATCATTACATTCATCATTTTAAAATCACCAATTAAAAGGTGTCATTTTAAAGATATAAAAAATCATTAAAGTAAACACCAAGATAAAGAAAGCAGTATTACGGGTCTATAAATTAGAGAATTTTCTGAAACTTTAATTTTAAGTAGCTTCAATAGTTTTGGTTTGGTTTATTGGATTATGGCAAAGCACATGAGAGCTATCTGCTTATGGGGAAGGATGCCTTCGTAGAAAACTTTCTGAGGGAAACTGGCTCGTACACATGTTACACAAAAGGCAAACCACAAACCCATGCAGCCAGCACCGTTCGCGGTATTCGACCCTCGGACCGAACTATCCGTGCTCAACGACTTTACCGCTCAGCCGCTGGTGGGCGTAGCTTAAGTGAAACTGAGACGGAGTCTGTAATGAATTTCAAAATGTTTTCGGAAATATTTGGAGAAATAAAAAATTTGAAAATTATCAAGATTAAATAGGGAAGCCTTGGGTGTTATATTTTACTCAAGTTGCATTTCATTTACTCGAAACTTTAGCAAATGTTTCATATTTCATATATCATAAGTTATATCAAGATATACTCCTTATAGTAAAGAGAAATAATGAGAAATAGAAACTTTGCTACTGGCCATTTAAAATTTTACAGCATGAAGGCAGCATATAACAAATGTAAAATTTGCATGAAAGGTACTACATCCTGGGATAATTACCAATTTAACATATGCCCACAAAGCAGGTATTTTAAGTCACGCCATTTATATTATGTATGAATGGGAAGACTCCACAATGGGATTCTCATTTGGAAACCGCATCGTTGGTCGCATCGTGTTATGTATCATGTTAGAAAAAAAATAAATAAAACTATTGCCAGCACATGTTTAAATTAGACCGTCACAGAAACGTGGCCTATCGGAACTGCGGCTTATCGTTCCGCGACATTGCTGCTCATGTTGGTCGGGATCCCATGAGTGTCAGACGAATATGAAACCCATGGGTCCAGAAAGGCCATACTGAACGCCGTGGTAGATCTCTGGCCCCAACCAGTAACGCCAGGAAGAACAGAATGTTGTTCTTTCGACCTTGCGGGATCGCACAGCAACGTTACGTATTTTGAATCAGGAATTTGGCTGGTACACAAGATAACAAGTATCCTCAGATATAATGCGACGACGTCTGCAGCAACTCGGACTGTCAGTACCACGACCATTGATGCGACTTCCCTTGACGCTGCAGCAGAGACAGGCGCGTCTTCAGTGGCGTGACGAACGACGACACTGGACACAGGAGTGCTATCACGCCGTCTTTTCAGACGAATCTGAATTCTGCATAGCGTATTATGATGAATGTATCCGTGTGAGAAAACACCGTGAACACCGAACGTTGCCAGCTTGTATTTGTCATCGTAAGACGGGCCCAATAAATGGCGGGCTGATAGCGATGGGTACACATCCCGTTTACCTCTTGTTCGCATAGCCGATTGTGGGCAATACAGTAGCTCTGATACCTGTGTAACAAATTCCACCTTTCAACAATAAGATGCACTACCGCATGTCCTGACCTTCCTCGATGCAGAGTATTGGGTTGTTGTCCTGACCAGCAGGTTTTCCAGATTTCTCACCCATTGAGAACATTCGGTTATGGGTTGCTGAGAGACTGCACGCCACCAGTCGCCAGCCACTACGACTATCGCATTCTGACTAGAGTTGAAGACGCATGGAATGAAGTGACCGAATCTGTCGTTCATGCTGAATTCGGCTCACAGCCGGATTAAAGCCGTTGCTGCTGCCAGAAGTGGCGGCTCTGCATGCTGAATTCTGACGGCTGTGTAGCCCAAGTCACCTACATATTTAATCACGTCTTCATCCCATTATGCTCTATATGTACAATAAAAAAGTTTATGCTATTTGCCAGCAGTTTATAAATGTGATCATGCTTATGGAATATTGTACGAGAGTCAGAAGCTGAGGCTCGCAAAAGGAAACATTCAGTAAATTAAGGTGTTTTCCATTATAATTCGATTTATTTAAATTACAGCAAAAAAAAAAAAAAAAAATGTTATATTTGAATTACTAAGTTTAAAATCTTGTAAATTAAACAACCAAAAAAGTTACATGTAGGAAAAAGAGCATTTTTAATGAAAAATAGAATAACGAAGAATGAGAAAAATTTTAAATAATTTAATTATAAATTGACATTTCCGTATTGCCAGTTTGCAGTATTTACGTAAACCAGGTATAGCTGATTTGAAAGTTTAGCGCTGTACTCAATCAAGTAAAATATAAATAAGAATGCCGCGAACTTTCTTATTATGTTTTTGCTTTCTTTCTGTAGCTCACATCTTTTTTGACGACGCATTTGTTGTCAGTGATGAAGATGACACCAAATTCACCATCAATAACTTTGTGAAGGATCTCATAGAAGCTGTAGATACAGCTGCTAGGTAGTATATTTTAATTTGCTGTTTTGGTCAAATGTTTTGAAATATTCTTTTTTCTTTTCATTTATTTCTAAGTGCAGTGGTAATAAAATCTCCGAAGAAAATTACTACAAATAGCTTTTGATACACGTGGGATGATTTCTTTGCTTAATTGATATTATTACACTCTTAACTCTTGATTATTCCTATGCGCATTATCCGTTTCGGTGGTTACCCTACATTCCTGAATTTCTTATTTTGCGAGCAGAAGATACAAGATATGTGGCTTCTTGAATAAAACTCAAGTTTAAAGCTAACTCATAGCTGAAAAAATTATCCCTTATTTTATAACAGCAGGAAAATTTTAGCAAGGAAGAGGTAACAGCACTGGACCTATTGAAATTAATTTTGGAAAATAAACATTTAAAAATATGAATTAAAAATGTAGAACGGTGGTTGTAGAAAAGCAAGTAAAAGGAGAGATTTTAGGATTTTATCCTATCGGATGAACGTGATGCAATGATCCAGAAGAAGCCAGAAAAGTCTTAAACAGGAAAATGAAGGTCGCAATAGTGATTACGGACAGGTTGTAGAGTTCTTGTCTTCGTCTAAGATGAACGTCGAGGAACCTAGTGAACTATGCAGCGACTTATCGCTGAGTTCAGAACAACTAAGACGCAGACTCGAGAAGAGTTAAATTATCCTTTTATTCACTCAAATAAGAATAACAGTCGGCTCCTTCTAGGGCTTATAGGAAGCATGTACTCGGGCTTTAACTCAGAATAAGAAATAAGAAACTAAACTATAATTAAATAAACGATACTTAGCCATAGCTAAACAGACTTATCTAACGTAGTTGGCACTTAAACTAGCCGGCAAATATCAAAAGGCACGTATAATACAGCCGAGTGTAACAGCTTCAAGAGTGACTTAGACAGAAGGCAGACACGCGCTACTAAGGGCTCCTAGCACTCTCTGTCGAAGTAAGCTGAACATTCCTTAAGTACTTCTTCTAACTCATTTGCATTCAACGCGATTATGAAAACTCATTCTAGTAAGTAATTCATTCTAGAAAGGAATTGTAACAGGAAACAAGAATTGATGGGAAAGGGTTTGGAAGTCAAAGTAACTGTTATAAAATTAATAATTTATAATAAGAAAACTTTCCATATACCATCTCCAAGGAACACAAATTCAATTTGAAATTTTGAATTTTTGAATGTTATAAAATTAAAGTATACCTTACAGGGTATTAGAATGAGTAAACATGCTGTTAGATTACATGTGCGAGAAAATCTTTTGAGTCATATTTTCCCGTGTGATCTAAAATAAGTCTGAAAAAATGTCGTGTTTTTTCATTAAAATAGGACTGTTATAACAATTATCTTCCGAAAGAAAAACTCAAAGATCTGTATAAATTTTATTATTATTCTAGTTGAATCTGATACTTAACAGCATACCATACCCCATATTTTCATTTAAATCTTCTGGAGATTCATTTTCTATGTTACCTGTGTGCTGATGATAACTTTACAGAGCTACTTTTTTTTTCAAATATTTGCCTTATAAATTTGTTTCTTTAAATTAACTGAAGAGCATAATCGGAGGCAATTAAATGTATCTAATAATTATCTTAACATTACAGGATCTAGTCTTCTTTGCTTACATACACTGTAACTAGATTTACTTAAAAGTCTATGATGCGAAGTCTCGCAAAGACTCGAATATGAGTACAACAAGGGAAGGATGTAAAAGACCCTTTTATTGATTACAATAGTTTACAGACGGCATGGACTTACGTGCTTACACAGTCACCAACTATTTGTCGTGATGAACTTAAAAGATAATGTAACAACTAAACTCAAGTTAAAAAATAGTGCAAGACTGCACAATTCAATTTCACCTAGCAGGTTGACTCAGAAACCTAGACCGGCGAGATAATAATTTCGACGGCAAAAATGCAAAGCCGAAATTCAGAATTCATTAGCTGGAAAATTAGCAACGTTCATGAAAAGTCCTCTAACTAAACTTTTCGCTAGTTCAGTTTAAATACACTAAATGATAATACATTCGTTAACCCCAAATGATTTACGTACTGACGAGAAAACGCGAGAGAAATAAGAAAAGGCTAGCAAATTAAGGTAACTATTAGTAAAAATAATAGAACCCTACAACCTTTTATTTTTCCACTATCCTATTTGCTTTGCCTCGACGCAACTGGATTGTTTTAATAATCTACAAATATGCTTTTTATTTATAACTGAAATTCTGAGTTATCTGTGTCGATGTTTATTAAACCTCACTCAAAATAAAAGTTATTTGATAGTTTCCTTCTAACGCTAAAAATTCTTTTGGTTTCAGTAAAGTTTACAAGAAATGCACAAAGCCTGATCCTCCTCTTAAAGTGCCTACCCCATATGGTGGCCGACTTATGTGGCGTTTGCTCGGCGACAATTTTCTAGTAGTTCACCTCAAAAATAAAGACCTCATCAGGCACAAGAAACGCTGGAGTCAGGTAATAAACATAATTTCATTAATTTGAATCAAAGTTTCAAATATGTTGAATGATAAGCATAGGTTAACGTTAAATTTCTGAATAAAGGTAAAGAATATTATTAAAAATGAAATTTAGAAATTTTAGAAAATATTATTAAAAATGCTGCTATGTACTTAGAAATCTTAGCTATAATTTTATATCATAATTATCAGTAATGATTATTTTTATAGTTCATTTTACATCTTTTATTACTTTTCCAGGCCTGAGGGATAGGTTTATTAAGTTAGAATAATTCTAGAAAATAAGTTTAAATGAAGTCCAGCAAAAAATATGAATAACTTAATAGGGCGTATAAGAAGTCATATGGTGTCCCCATCAGAGTTTTTTTAAATTTTATATTCGCTTAAATTTTATTCTGAATAAGTTACACTTTCCAATAAATAATGCCTTTATTCTTAAGAGCCACCGTAAAAAATTTCATCTGACTGATAAGTTGTATGGAAAGAATAAAATATTGAAAGTACTCTAGATTATGAATATAATTAATCTTTCACGAGTCGAAATGTCCTACTCGTTGCCGTAAGTATTCTTTGAAAGAACATATAAAGTGTTCAAAATAATGTACAAGTTATATGCAATATTATTACATTCTGCATTAACAAATATTTCTGAGTCAAAATATGCGAAAATACATTATAAACAGAAAATTACAGAATTAATTAAAAACCTATAGTCATGAGCGTAGTAACAAACTCTGTACAGTTAATATCTGTGGAATTTTAATATTACATTAAATTTATAATGGAAATTTAATGTAAATATTCAAACTAACCAATATTTGTGAAACTTTTTGCTGTTGAAATCACAAGTGGGTGGACTTTACTTTTAATTTTTACTCTTGGGTATTATCAATATTGTGCTGCGAAATGAAGCGAATTATTTTGTTCGTGTAAGTTTAGCCAAGTCTTAACAGCAATTTACTAGAAATTTTAGCTAGACTAATTACTAGATGATTGAACAGACACTACTGGAATTTCAGAAAATGCTATTGGCAAAGAGTGCGGAATCGATTTTAAGCTACTAAAAGAAATACTACGCAGAAGACTAAAATAAAATCGTGATCATAGAGCTACTAGGAATATTCATAGAATCACTCGATCATAACAGGTTATTTGTCCTTACATGGTTGGAATCATCGATAGAATGACGCAAAGCTACATCAAGGGTCTCAGCTGGAAAAGGCAACTAGCACTGATAGTAATTACATCTATAATTTCACCCTCGTCTTCGTAAGCTAAGATCAAATTACTTTGAGAATTTATTAGAGGTTCTTTGGTAAGACTTAGGGCAAAAGACTATTTACAAAGCAAAATTCGAAGACAGCTGTAAAGCATAAGTTTCGGTAAGGCTTGGAGTAAAGAACCCAAACTACCTCTTTTCTTAACATTTGAATGGATGAGCCTACCGGTGATTTGAATGGATGAAACTTCTGAATATTGATAGTTTGCTTCGCGCTCGGTTCCTACCGAATGGACAACCTATATGGTAGTTTCGATGCTTTCCCCATATTTAACACCGAATACTAAATAATTTAACTTTAAAAGCCTCAACAAAAGAATGCGTCCAGAAGCAGTGAGCTTTCACATACTTTACAAACATTGGTTAACCAACCAACTAACTCTTAACAGAGCGAAAAAAAGCACAAAATTTTTATGTTCAAAATTAGGCAAAATTCCTCTTTAGATTGGGGCCCACCAGCGGCCGAGCGGTAAAGACGCTGAACACTGGTAGTTCGGTCTGAGGTTCGAATCCCGCGAACGGGCTGGCTGCATGGGCGTTTTCGTGGTTTTCCCCCATGTGTAACGTGTATACGAGCCAGTTTCCCTTAGAAAGTCCTCCACGAAAGGCATCCCTCCCTTTAGGCAGATAGCCCTCGTGTGCTTTGCCATAATTAAATACACCACACCACCTCTTTAGATTGGCGTCAGTTTTATATAGGAGGTGTATGCATTTCTAGTTACACTGGTAAGGCCTCCTTCTTCCTCAAGAAACAAAAATAACTCCCAGAGCATATGATTCATTTACTAATTCCATTAATCCCAAGAAATTGTTTCATTTTTTACAAGGGTTTATTTTAGAAGACTATCATATTGGTGTAAATATACTATAATACAGAATTCTGAAAACGGAATTCAGAGAAACTTTATCATTAATCCATAATAATAGTATTAAATATATGAAATTATATCAAGAGCCATGTAAATTTTATAGCAAATGATTTGATTGATTGGTAGTAAGATTAATAGCTATGATTTCTTACTTCTTAGGTTATGTATATGTACTATCTACTGGGATATCATCTGGAGAGTATACAGCATATAGAGGATATAGACAGTATCCGCAAAAATACGTTTATCTTAGCTTTGGACGGAGATATTGATTTTAGACCTAACGCTGTTCAGCTGTTAGTGGATCTGATGAATAAAAACCCAAATTTAGGTGCAGCCTGTGGAAGAATTCATCCAGTTGGAACAGGTATAAAATTCTGTACAGTTGAACAATTTCAAAAAAGGAAAAAAAAAATAAAACTTGCTGGTTTTCTGCTCAGTAAGCACTTTTTAACAGTTTTCTTATTTAAAATTATGGCAGCTATTTTCATAATTAAGTGTTATATTAATTACTGTTGCAAATTTAGTAAAACGACATTATAACTCAAGATGTGTTCATGTTTTTTGCAAAATATATGTAATTATGCTGAACTATGTAGTTCGTTTGTGGAGAACAAGACAACGGTAACTTACGAAGGCAAGACTGATTCCTTGAATAGAAAAATGAAAGTTTTTGAGATAGTAAAGTAAATTTAAAGTTTAAATATTGCGTATACGTATAAACTAAAACTCGAATTAACGAATATTTCACGAATCTTAGTCACTGTATTTTAGAATTATTATAAATTCAGAACTTTGCTTTCGATTTATCGTATTGTTGAATAAATGCTATTACTGTGTTGCAATAAGGATTTAAATTAAATGTCAAAGTTGAGAAAAGCGCCAAAGCCTACTAAAATAAAATTTCCAAGAAAGCTGTTATGATTAAAAGTTGGAAAAAATAAAGTATTTATTTGTATACTTCCTCCCGTGGCTTACCTCCTCCCAGGTTCTTTTGGAATATGATTTCAAAAATTCCGATTATGTGGTAGGAAAAGGTAAAGTATGTACGGGTGGCAAAATATAATGTGTAATTAAAAAGAATATTAACGAAAGTCATAATTAAAATTGACTTTTGAGTGTAGAATGCAGTCATAAGTATACTCACGTATACCTTTTAATCTGGCAAGTTCTTTCTGTAACTTATTTCCTCAGCGAGAGTATAGGTTATTGTATTACTTGTAGAAGCTTGAGGAAACAATAAGCTAAGGTACGATAGTAAAAAGGCATATCGACAGAACGTACTGTCCTAACTAATCATATATGAAAGCATCTTCAAACTATGTGTTTATTTCCTGCTCTTCCCTGTTTTTTTTTTTTTTTTTTTTTTTTTTTTTTGTCTTTTGAATTCATAAGCTGAAGAGGAGAAATTTATTTTACTTAAATTCATGGCATAATGTTAAACGATGTTTCTTGAAAACTTGCTAATTTTAAAAATAATAAACACAGAAAAAGTAATTAGAGTTTGTCCATAGTTGGAAACATACATTTCGAAATTCTTGCAGAAATATCTCGAAAAGTCCATGGCTCAAATAGCATAGAATTATTCTTTATAAACTTCTGTCTTGATGATGTTAATGCTCATTAATTATTTATTTATTGTCGAAAATAATAAATGGTAGTAAAATCGAAAAGGTTTTTTTAAACTAAATGATTTGCAAATTCCCGATTGTTTCATCAAAAATTATTCTATCAAAAGTATTTTCGTTTCTGTTTTAGCGGACGTGTTGAACATCAGAAACTACAATTTTTTATGTTTAAATTGCCCAGAACTTTAAAGATTTGGTAAGAAATATAAGATTTAAAAATATTCTGATGGTTATTTCTCGTGCCCGCAAGAGGTACTTGTTGAAAGGGTCTCTCTAATTAAGATATTCTGCGAAATTAGTCTTTCAGTTAGGATGACAAACAAGTATTGTCCTAAGATTGAAATCGCTAAATATTGAATAGATCGAGAAGGAACTCAAAATGTATGCTATGAAAATAACTGAAACCTTTAAAATATTGCTAAAGACATGACATTTTTGGCACCTAAACAGTAATGTATTTGCTAATAAATAGCAAACTGTGATAATAAGTTTCTCAAGGAATGCAAAAACATGTCTTTCATGACAAAACATATCTTTACAAACAAAAACATGTAGAAAAACACGTTTTTATGTACGTATGAGTAGATCTGTTTATTCAAAAACTTACTGATTTATCATTATCTTCAGATAGTAATTTTATTGTAAGTAATTATGCATTAACCGTGATGCTTTTGCAAACAATACTACAAGAAATAAATTAATGATTTAATTTTGTGCATTATAAATCATAGTTAATTTAAAGTTTCATCTATGATCTTGAACATGCACTAAAAATTAAAAAAAAAAAAAAAAAAAAAAAGATGAGGGTGAATAAGTATATCATGACTGAGAGTATGAATAGAATATTTCCTGTCTTCTTTCAGGTATGATGGTGTATTACCAAAAGTTTGAGTATGCCATCGGACATTGGCTACAGAAAGCAACAGAACATATGATTGGATGTGTGCTGTGTAGTCCTGGATGTTTCTCTTTGTTTCGAGCAGAAGCTCTTATAAAGAAAAATACAATTAGACGATATGCTACGAAATCAAGAGAAGCCATAGAATTTGTACAATTTGATCAAGGTGAGTTCCGAAATATAAACTTAAAACATTTCTTAAATCTTGGCAGATACAAAATACTAAATGAGGACTTATTTTATTCCTCACATAGGCCAAATTTGTTTTAGTTTGCAGAAACATGTACTTGCAAAGCCAGTTGTGAGATTCCAAACTACCCTATAGGTAAAACTAATAGCCGCATCCTTATAAACTGTATATATAGAAATTTCCTTATCAGCCATATGAAGCTTATCCCTTTAAGCTATATATAGTCAGAAGTTTAGCAACCCGGATGCCGTTTGGAACTGAGCTGTTTCTACTAAATTTAATATTATATTTTAAAGTTGCATTTAAGTTTTCAGATCCTAGTTGGCTTTTTTTTTTTTTTTTTTTTTCCCTTAAATTATCGTCAATTTTAATATCATCACAAATTTTTCATAAAAGAGCCTAAATTTCTCTCATCTGTTAATATGTCTGAGAAAATGAAAAGCATTAGTCGTAGCTCCCTTCTGCTAATATCTGATAAAATATGGTTTTGAAACACTTTCCTCATTAGATCCCATCATTTAACCTAAGCATTAAAGAAATAATAAATGTCTTGTATAATGTTAAAAAATTCATGATATTATTGGCATTATCATCAGATTTTATAAGTTTGGTGCGTATAGAACAAAAGTTTTTGATATTTTCAGGATGCTTATGTTACGACATAAGGTGCCCAATCACATGACTTCGTAGGTGAATGCTTGATTGATCTAGTACTTCTTCTAGTCCAATACTGCAAATTGTGAGAGGGGGAAACTTGCAATTTGCTAAGTAATACCAAAAATCTCTGTATCTGACCTGCGCTTTTATCTTTAAGGCAGTTACAAAGCTAAAATCAAATACATCAAATACATATCAAGACATCGAATAAGGCGCTGCACGATGAAGGAGGAACATTTCAGGTTGTGTGTATTTAATTATGGCAAAGCACACTAGGGCTATCTGCCTAAGGGGAGGGATGCCTTCGTGGAGGACTTTCTAAGGGAAACTGGCTCCTATACACGTTACACATTGGGAAAAGCACGAAAACACCCATGCAGCCAGCCCGTTCGCGGGATTCGAACCTCGGACCGAACTACCAGTGTTCAGCGACTACTACAGTGTACCGCTCGGCCGCTGGTGGGCCTGGAACATTTCGGGAATATAGCACTCTAAATTTCCAACTAGCGTTATGCTCACCCAATGAGTAACTCTGAATTTTGACTTTTATCAGGAGAAAATATGTTTGAATTTTCAGTGGCATGCCATTAACTGACTTCGAAAGATTTAGAATTATAGGACATAAATGGGAAATATATCAGAGTTGAAAAAGTTGCTGGTATCATCTGACTGGTGAATCTGTAACCAAGACAGCAAGGTCTTTCAGTATCATAAGATTACATCATGTATTGAAGGCTAACATTTCTAGAATCATATTTGAATACTAGAAGAGTGAAAATCTTTTAGTCGGAATAACAGCCGAGGTATGAAAAAATTATCTGAAAAAAATGTTGTAGCATTAAAGAGAATTATATCCAATATATAATATATATATATATATATATAACAAATATTCTCTATTCGTATAAAGCAAATAAAAATTAAAATTTATTTAAGAAATTTAAATTGCAAAGAAATAAAAATAAAAATTTATTATTGCTGCGAACTAATTTACAATATCATTTAAATTCTAAGAGGATATGTAAATAAAAAACAGGGAATCTAAATGGTATTGTTAATTTAATTCACTAAAATTTGAAAATTTAAAATAACTATTGTTATTAAAAAATTGCAAGTTAAAATTTTAAACAAAGTTTAAAAAAGTGTTAGTTAAAAAATTGTTTAAAGAAAACCAAACTATTTGAACTAAGTTACATTTGAAAAAAAAATATTCAGGGGTCGAACAGCTACATCGAATGGCTACAGAAAGCCTTGCAGCACGGTCGATCAGCTACAGATAACCAGTTTTCATGTTAAACGCTAGTTTCAGTGGTGCCATGAACACCGAACTTGAATTGAACACAGCGCGAGATGGGTATTGTTCAGCAAATATTACACCTTTATTATCTTTCGGCCTTCTGGGAAAGTTTATGTTTAAAAATGTTCTTCAAAGATCCTATATATAGATATAATTCGCCTCCTTGCCACAGAGCTGTAGCTAGGGTTTTAAGTGCCTGGGGACAATTTGAAAATTTAGCCCCCTCTACTGTTTATCAAGAATGAAAAAAGTTTAATTTTAAAAATTCACAACATCATTTTGGCGCACCCTGGATGGCTGCGCCCGAGGACAGATGTCCTCCTTTTCCTCCCTGTAGATACGCCTCTGCATTGCCAAAGGGAAGCATGGAGAAGATATGGTTATGATTTAAAAAGCGTATCATGGAAGTCTGTAAGACGTTGATAGTTTTTACGGCCATATAACTGTCAAGAATATTGATATAGTATACTAAAGGGCCTAGTCTACCCATTTGTTCAACATATATTCTGATGGTTGTACAAGACTTATGTCTGTCATTTCCAGGATGAATCGCTAATGTATATGCCTCCAAAAAAGGTTCTACATTGTTCCAATAAATTATTGCAATAGAGAAACATCTATATCAATTTTCAAAACAAACACTTTACCTTTATAAAATATTGTAGTATTTCTCCAGAGCTTATTACAGTTGACAGATACGGGTAAAATTCTTTTTTAGTTTTAAAAGTTGTTATGAGAATCATACGATAAATATTTTTTTTATTGGTGTTTCAATCCAGTTTGAAACTATCAGAAATTTGTAAATAATTTAAAATTTCTGTTATTACGTTTTCGAGAAGCAAGATGCCTTACTTGAATAAAGCAGATGAGGATAGAGTAATGACATTTGAACGAAAGATTTTTGGAAGCAGTAAGGGCAAATGGAATATAGAGAATAAGATATAATTTTGAACAACAGTAAAAATTTAGAGAACCAAATATTATAAAAGTTATTAAAGCCTCTCAACTAAGATGATTAGGTCATATACACAGATATAGAGATAAAAACCCAGTGAAGAGATTGAAATACGAGCCAGTTTCTCTCAGAAAGTCCTTTGCGAAGTCATCCCTCCTCTTAAGCAGATAGCCCTCATAGCTCTACCATAGTCAAATAAACCTAATCCAATCCTTTTCTTCCAGTTCCCCCCTCCATCTTATACTCTTCTGAAACGAAGAAACATGCCTTTTTCCGGAAGACAATGTACTTCCTATCAGTTGCTTCGTACTTTTTCAATACTTGTATTTTGAGTGTTTAATGCTGTTTCGTTACGTCTCTTTTGTATTAGGAGAAGATCGTTGGCTATGCACCTTGCTGTTACAAAGAGGTTACAGAGTTGAATACAGCGCAGCTTCAGATGCCTATACCCATTGCCCAGAAACTTTCGCTGAGTTTTATACACAGAGACGACGCTGGGCTCCTTCTACCATGGCCAACATTATGGATCTGCTTGTCAATTACAAGAAGACTGTGAAATGTAATGACAATATATCTAGACCTTATATCGGATATCAGGTATGTAAAAAAGCGTTTTTCGATTAATATGAATGCAAAAACTTTACAAGGGCAACGTATACATAGAAATGGCAACGTATCGATATCTCTGAAAAGACTTTATAAATATGGGAAGAGAGTCTTACAATCGCTCAATATAATTACATGCCATGTCTACCATTTTCTGCCAAATTACTGGAAGGCAAATACACCATCAAAGCGTTTACTTTGTTGATGCTGTACAATGACTGCTCTAAAGCATAAGTAATCTTCTCTCTACTGTATTGTTGAATTGGATCGCTCACAGTGGTTCTTTCATTTTGGCGAAGATATGATAGTCATACGGGCTTATATGAGGTAAGTGCTATGGGAATTCTGGCAACTCCCATCGCAACGTCGCAGAAGATAGAGTTCCGTGATAGCGCTTATATTATGGCATCGCGCATTGTTACTGAAGATGATGGAATTCGTTACCTAAAATATTATCTGCATCTAGCACTCAGGATAAAGCGATGACACTTGTTAGTGACGAAATGCATCATCTCCACAACAACTCACGATGACATACGAGGACTGTCACAGATTTCCTGTGATGATGGCGATGGGAGGTACTGTGACATCTGCCTTATCTGACCAGATATAAGTTTGTGTAACTATGATCTCTTATCCAAAATAAAAGAACCACTACAAGGAATCATTATAAGGTTATCCGTTATTTAGGGCGATCACTATGGAGCATGAATAGAAGTGAACATGCTGATCGTATACAACACCAACCAGTAATTTAACAAGGCGTTAGACATGGCAGGCGATTATATTGAGGAATAAAAATCCACCTATAATAAAAATAATGTCTGAACCTATAATAAAAATAAAGCTGTTCCAGAACTATCAACATGTTGCCGTTACTTCTTATTTTATCATGATGCAATTACAATTAGATAAACAGGATATCCGAGTAATTGAGTTTTTAATTTTATGTGGTATGTAATTTGATTTCATACTTTCATTCTTATGCGTTATTTCGTGAATTTTTAGGCCATAACATAAATTCAGATATTTATAAAATTCGAAACATTCCACTTCACAATACTTTGTTTGAATGTGAGATATGAAGTTGTCATTAAATAGGCATATCTCTAGGTACCAATGCATCATGTTGTTTGAATTGTACTTACTATGTATAAATTATGTGCGTGTGGTTTATTCTAGATTTAAGCATCCAAAAATATTTTAAAATTTTGATTACAGGTAGTAATTTTTTTCCCCAGGTCTTGCTAATGGTTGGAACTATTTTAGGACCAGGAACAATATTTCTGATGCTTGTGGGAGCCATGGTTTCAGCTTTTGGAATATACAATTGGCATTCCCTCATCGCTAATTTTATACCAATCATTCTCTTCATTGTGATTTGCTTCTACGCTAAGAATGACACACAAGTAAGAATAAGAGCTAAACGAATAATTATAAAATGATATATATCAGAATTTTAATAATGATAAAATTATTAAAATTTAATTTTGCTATGTTTAATATATTACTGAAAAAGTTTTGAAACTGATTTGAAAGTGAAAAGCTTTGCTTTTGCTAACAAAATAATAGAAGAATCTTATCGAGATGAAGAAGAGATAGTCTGTTCTTATAAGAATTGTACAGTCAAAAGTCTTTAATCCGTACTCGTCGGGACTTCGGCGACTCCGGATTATCGGTTTTTCTGGATTATAGATGATCAATTTAAATCTGGTAAGATGGCATGCAGAAATTATAAAATTAAAAATATGAAACCGTAATTTATGAAATAAAGAGCAATTATGATCTAAAGGGTATCAAAATTTACAAAAAAAAAAAAAAAAGCTTAATATTTATTTGTTTACTTTATCAAACATTTCTTTCAATGCGCGCATGCGTAAAGCATACATTACGCATAGTCGAAATTAGAAAATTGCAACCAGAAAACTATTTGATGTGTATTCGTGATATTTATAATGACCAGGAATTTGATTTAAATCATATCAAAGACGGAGTACATCGAGATGAAATACTACATTTAGTAAAGAATTATAAGCCGAATAAAATAAAAACATCTGCCCTGAAGATAAGGATAGTGCTGACAGATCAACTTTCAGTTCATTGCGCGCCGCGACATTCCCCCCGCCGCAGAGCAGCGTGAAATTGATAAACAGATTTCGGATTGGTTAGAAGAACAAAGTATATGCCTTTATCCATTTTTTGCAACAATTCCACTTTTTGTTTGATGGATATCGAAACATGCTTTCGCTTTGTAGATCCTTTGGCAGCTCCAGAATCGAAAATTCTATTTGGCATAATCGAACGTTCAAGCTTACTTTTATAAAATTGCTCTAACACTCTGCAAAAAATAATAAGCCGGATCCAATTCGAAGATTAAGGAACAACGCAATCTGCAGCATTAACTGCAATAGATAATTAGATAATTTTAGCTTAGCCTATACCGTCCGTTATACATTAAACGCGCATACGTGAAAACATTATACGTTGACGCATGCGCAGAAAGTTTGTAGCTTTGAGGTCCGGATTATAGATCATTCCGGATTATGGGTGTCCGGATTAACGACTTTTGACTGTAATATATATTACACTAAAAATGTTGATATTTCTCACTTTTTTCTTATTATCAGAAAATTATTTCTTACTTGTATATTATTCTTTTATATATGAGAAGAGAAATTGTAGTTAGCTCGCCAAAAAGGTACCAGGATCTGTGGCTCCAAGAAAAAGTTCAACACAATTTTTTTTAAAAAACAATGACATTGAAGGGTAAAATATTAGGCTACATGCGAAATAAAATGTAAATTATAAAACACAGTAAAATACTAATCGTTGGAAACAAGTTAAAGGCAAAAAATAAAACATAGCAAAAAACCAATCGATGGAACAAGTTAACACATATAAAAATCAATCAATGGAACAAGTTAAAACATATAAAAATTTTAAAAGCGGAAAACGGTAAATTAGCTCAACTCGAGGTCCACCCTGGCTTTTCGAGGGAAATTTCTGGTTGAACGTCGAACCAAGCTAACTCCATTACGCGTTTCGCCGAAACAGACAATTGAAACTTTGCGTTACGAATTTTTTTTAATTAATTAGATAAGTTGTCCTAAAAAAATTTTTTAGTCTCAATTCTCTGTTCCAGTTTCCCGACGCGTCCGCACAAAATAACACATTAAGGTGTAAAAATGTAAATGCAACTCCGATGTACAGCAATAATAAAAATAATAATAAATCTTTTAGTATTGTACTTATCACCTAGCTTATAATATTCTTTTATATATGTTATACGGAACTTAATAGATTCTGTCACGTGTCGTAAACAAAGTAAGTATAGTTAATATAAATTGCTTATTTTAGGATAAATTGTTTGTATAATGTTAATCTAACAATTATGTGCAATTCTTGTATCACTAAACTATTCTCTAACGTTGCACCATAGACCAGTTACATATTAGCATTCCTCATTATTTCAATGAACCTAATCTGAAATAGCATGAAGAAACTGAAGGAGATACGAAAATTAATTTTGTCGTGTTAGACCATCCTTCCCCATATGTATAAAGCAATTGTTCTAATTTTTTTCTGTCGCAGTTCATGAATTATATTCTCTTTAAATTAGCTGCAGTATCGAGATGCTTTTAATTAAATACTACTGCTGCATGATATCAACAACTTTTTGGTATATAATTTGAAGAAAATTGTAAACATAAACACACTTTACTTACAGCAGAAAGGGTTTTTTTAATGCTAAGCAAAAAAAATTGTTTTGTTTTCTTCAAATATATGAAAGGAAACCCTTGCCATAAATAAATATATATATTACTGTTTAAATTCAATACAATAACTTCTGCTTATACTTTAGATCATGATGGCTCAAATTTTTAGTGCTCTCTACGCACTTCTCATGATGGCAGTTTTGGTTGGAGTTGCCCTTCAGATAGTGATGGATGGCATCACATCGCCATCAGCTATCTTTATCCTTTCGATGACAGGGACCTTTCTCACTGCTGCACTTGTGCATCCTCAAGAGTTTTGGTGCGTCGCTCATGGACTATTGTACTTCTTGAGCGTTCCTTCTATGTACCTGCTTCTTGCTTTGTACTCCATCATCAATTTGCATGTTGTGTCGTGGGGCACAAGAGAAGTCCAGACAAAGAAAACTAAAAAACAGCTGGAAAATGAACGCTTACAAGCACAAGTATTACTCGCACAACCAGTAAGTGTGATATCTTTCATAACAAAAGAAATGTAATGCTTAAAATGCTTAACTTAGAAGCTAAATTTTTATAAAATAATGAATTTTTCTGGTAATTCGCAGGTTCATTAACCTTATTTTACTTTTAATTATTTTGAGCTGAAAATTATGTACATTTTCCTATTTGTGGTGTATTTGTTTTTCAGTTTAGTTCCATAAGGATAAACATTATTACTTTTCAGAAGAAATTATCTTCTGTTGCACCTGCGGAATAATGAACACAAGTCCAACACATAATACCTCTATGTGATATCTGATAAAGGTACAGGACTTCATCCCTACCATTGATTCTTCATGTTTCCACAAGAAAGCAGAAATATGCATGCTTGCCCCGAAGAGTGAAATGACAGAAACTATGACTTCGATAATAGAAAGATGATATCATTCCCTTCATACTCTTCGAATCAGAGTAGTCCTAAAATCACTCACAAAAAAAAAAAAAAAAAAAAAAAAAAAACCTAAACTTGACTGTACGCAAATTATATGTATAAATGTATGTATACATTTATAATTTACATGCCTCTATTGATTATTATGCCTTTATGCCACTATGCTATAATTGTGCAGGTCACTAGTAGCCGAGAGCTGAAATCGCTCGAGCCTGGTATTTCAAACCGTGTTGAAATGCCGGCGAATGAAATGACTGTATAGTTTTAGCGGTTTTCTTCAGGTTTAACATGCATACGGATACGGAATATGAAGTAACTTTTGTTTCCTAAGAGGGGCCTAAATAAGCTAAATAAAATTCCGCGGACATATGACTTTCTCGACCATTGTCTCCTGTGCTGTAGAGATGCCAATTAGATGGAGAGTGATGAGAGAAAAGTCAAGGCACGCAAGAAACTAAATAAAAGTTGGCAATCCAAGCTTGTTTACAAAATTATGGTCTCTAAGTATGTGCGTAGCAAATACTCTGACTAAATTCTCTTCTGGAATGGTTTGATAATTAAGGTCTCTGACAAATTTCCAGCACCACAGCTCAGTCCAATGTTGCTGAAACACTCATTATCTAAATATAGAAATTTGGTCTGATTATAGAATCTCATTACAGAATCTGGTCCAATATAGAATCGATTTCAAGTTATCATCAGTTTGTTTCTGATCAAGTAATGACCATTTACGATTCTTCTCATAATCTTATTTTGTACCACCTGAAGTTTTTAGGAGTCCGATTTGAGACTGACGCCGTGCCCAGAACATGCATAGCGTAGAATTAGCCTTATAAAAGATAGGTAACATAAATACTAGCCAGCGTCTCTTAAAAAGTTCTCCGCAAAGGCTTAACCTGCCCTTTTGCGTGCTTAACCATAATCTAAATAATACAGTCATATATTGATATACCTCTTATATTAAGATTTCTTAGTTTAAAATCTTCATGGCAGCTTTTCCCATCAAGAAAATAAGACAAGAAGAGTATACACAGATATCGGAAATCGGCAATTTATTACTTACCCCCGTATCCTTCAAATTGTAATAAAGTGTCATGTAGTAATACCGGATGAACCAATATATTGCATTTTTGAAGTTGACAACTACAGGATTGCTTCAGTGCACTAGAATGGAAGAAATTCGGTCATTATCAGTAATATGTTATAATACGTATTATATACATAAAAATTACCAATAATATAAGTCTTTCATAAAATTTTAAATTTTTATCCAATGCAAATTTAAGTGTTCAAATTATATGTTGTAATTATCAAAAAATATACTTCTTTTATACAATGTTTAAATTGTATAAAAGAAGTATATTTTTTATAGAAGTACAATTTTTAAATTGTATCAAACCATTTTTTAGATACAAATGCAAGTAATGAATATAAAAACATTCTGCTGACTTAAAAAAAAAAAAAAAAAAAAAAGTATGGCTTAATACTTCAGCATGTCCTCGCCTTCAGTTCACAGCGGGTACCTGATCATAAAATGGCTATAATCAATATTCGCTGATTAGTACGCGCTAAAATATACATATGCACTAAATACTAAACATGCCTGAATGAATGGTAACAGAGGATGCTACAGTTATTACAACTCCAGACGAGAAAACACAAACTCGCAATCATCCTTTTTTCCTTCATTTTTTGGAGGAAAGGATAATAGACATTGTCTGTAAATGAGAACAAAAAGAATTTCTATTTAAATGAACTTACGAGGCTTTCGTTACAGATACATATTTATCATTTCTTGCAATATTAGATTTAAGAAATTTAATTTATCTGTAACATCTGTAAGAAGATCGTGATAGAGAATTAATTAAAAACTAGTTGTACTTAATTTCGATTTTTTGGATTCGAAAAGTTTTTTCTATCATCCGGATAGCAAATTTTGCAAGAACTTAATTTTGTTGAGACAACACACGTCTTCTTTTCTTCTTTCCTGCACTTCCCTTTTTTTTAGGAGGAGATTGGTCGTTAATCTTTAGTATCTCCTAATAGGATTTCGAAAAACGGATATTGGAAAAGGAGTTTTAAACTCTGAAGATGTACAAGAGATACACATTTTGTGCATTAAAATCTCTAAAATAAAAGCTACGCGAACATACTTAAATAGCATGCTATAAAGCGCATTTAATGTCTAGAGTGTGAACACGTCTGTCAGTGCTCCGCATGAAATGCGATTAATAATAATTCTAGTCTGAACTTAGTGAATGTATCTCGTGTCGGAGAGTTGCAGCGAAAGATTGAATTAAACCTCCCTTTGTAAATCATATATATATATATGTATGTATATATATACATCTTTCTTCAATATTTGAGATCTTGAAAGAGTATTTAAGTATGATTGCGTAGCTTTTTGTTTTAGAGATTTTAATGCACAAAATGTGTATCTCTTGTACGTCTTTAGAATTTAAACTAGTATTTATGTTATGTTATGTAGAAGTGAGGGGGGCCACCTAATATTTACCCTAAGTAAGTACCACACACTAACTAGAAAACTAACAACATTCTGGCATCATTTTCTCGAGGTCGTGATGGAAATTGTAACTCCAGTGAGCACTTCAAGGACTGCCACCGGCGACGGCATCAACGGTACTCCTAACCTTTCAGCGTTAAATTAGCTCAAGTAAAAGGGATTAAATTACATGATATACATTGCGATAGACATAGTTGTGCAGGTGCATATTTTGAAGATGTTATCTATTGTAGTGGGTACAGGTAAGTTGAATGTTTTCTTTCTGAAGGATAATTTACTTTACATATCTCTCTATGTAGTATAAAATGATTGGTTTGGGGGTTTGAGCGATACGCGATATATACTTATAACCGCTGGTTGGCATATTGTTGTACTTGGCTTCGGATTCTAAAGAAAACATAAACGTTTGTAACTGTATGAGAAATATGAACATTTAACATCTTTCGAGCTAAAAATAAGAAAGATTCTTCATATGTCACAGCCCTTCATAGGTTATTATAGCAACAAATTTTCCAGAAAATGAGTCCGTCACTTCCAAAACGGCGCCAACATTTTGGATATGCAAAAAGGTGAGCGATACTCGTTTACCATTGTTAATTCAATGAAAGATGTGCTATAATCTCACCCGAATACGGGCACAATTAATAGCAAAATTAAAAAATACCAAAGCTATTAAATGAAATGTGTTTAAATGAATGAAAATCACTTTAACTAAATATTAAATGTTTTATTATGATTTGTTTGGAATCAACTCATTGTTCACGCTGAAGTTTTATGTCCAAAAACAATCTTCAGTTTGCTACATGGATTATTTTTAACAAGATTTTCTTTTCCGTGAGTTTTCGAGGAATCTAACTACTGCTTTAAAACAAAAATTAATTTAGAATTATCATATGTATGTAAAAACCTAAAACAAATATAACTTGGTTATTTTGTTTCCATAAGTCATTAATTCAAACATTAAAATTTTTTTTTATACATTTAATGAAGTACTTTTGCAGCATTTTCAAGCAGAATATCCTGAATTCCTGATAAAGATTCGGTTAGAAAGTATTTATGTTTATACGCAAATATATGTAATATATTTGTTTAATATACACATTTTTTTTACATATTTTAGTCAAAAAAGAAGGGTGGCTTGTTTGACTGGCTGAACAACTTTGGTAGCAAGGGACAAGAGGAAGAAGAAGGAAGTATATCCTTCGGATTTGCCAACTTGTTCCGTTGTATGTGCTGTACTTACCCTAAACCAGAGCCATCGAATCTACATATGGTGAAAATTGAAGCTCATCTGGAAAAGATGAATGACAGCATCCGTCATCTCCAAAGACAAATTGATTCTTCTGTGGTTCGAGTGCCAGGATTCCGGCGAAGGTAAAATTACTTTATTTCTTTGCTAAGAGAAGGTTATTGTGTATCTCTCTGACTCAATCTTGTTTTGTAATATACGAAGAATAATGACTTCTAGGAAATATGTATGAATCTATGATCTTCCTGTTTTATTGTGCATAGATACTAAATAAGATTTATAATAAATATTTCATTTAAAATACTAATAAGGAGCTGAATATAGCAATGAAGATAGCAAATATAATATTTTTTGTTATAAAAAGAAATTTCGTTAATGACAGAAGACCATACGTAAGTCTGAAAAAAAAAAGTATGTACTAGATCATAACTCTGATCCTTTCTATTTGCTGAACAGCGCTAACTTATATTTTTGTTACTATGTATTCAAACTTCTCGTGCACCACAATGTAATACAACATGGGGCTTACAAAATTAAAACACTCAACGTAAATAAAACAAACGAAAAGGAAGAACAACATTCTAGACTTCACAAAAACAGATAAGTTCACTGATACCTAGGTTTTTAAATTTGTTCTGCAAGCATGATCTAGGGCAGTGGCTCTTAACCTGTTTTGGAGCATTTAGCAATAGTGAAAGGGGAACCTGTGCACCCCTTTCACTATTGCTAGATCATTCCACCCCTTTTCCAAAACTCTAAAAATACATGTATGCATTTATTTAGATTTAGATTATTTTTTTAAGTATTTTGTTAATTAAACAGCAACAAGTATAAATAATGTTGTTAAATACCAAAACTTGGATAAAAATAGATTTTTTTTTTATTATCATTAACTAAAACTGAATAATTAACAAAAGGATGACAGCATCCCCCTGAAATTATAAAATTGCCCTGGGAGAATTTCGTCCTGGGTTGAGAACCTTGATCTAGGACAGTCGAAAGTGGAACGGGAAAAAATTAAATGTTCCACATCTTGAGATACTTTTTTCGAACACTCAGATAAGTTACCAGATCTTATATTGGGAGGAAACAGGTAATTTGCAAATGTACTTTGATCAGATAAAAGCTGAAATACTTTAAAATAATTAAAGAACTGCTCGAAATGTAGTTTTAGTCTGTGGTTAATAGAAAAAAAGAAGTTTTTGATGTGTCCAGCAGTACAAGATAAAATATATTCATTTCCACTTGGTTAAAAGCTGCTTATAAAAGGACTTTTAGTAACTCTTTGGAATACATATATGTACTATGTCAGTGTGTAAATTTAAAGTGTCTTTAGATAAAAAATCAGCTATTTCATATACACAATGCCATGATGACAGTGCACAAAGGCAAAACGAATATCGATCCATCTAAAGTGAACTGACAGCTAACAGAGTATCGATTACTAGTTTGTCGCTGCTCGTAACGTTTTTCAAAAGACGAATATAAGGCCTCGTATGAAGATATAAAATGCACTATAGCTCAAATTGTAACATATATCTAATTTCACGTAATTAAATTAATGCGATTTTTTTAATCAAAGCTCAAAGTGGTATTGTTATAAATAAATATTTATTTATAATATATATATTTAATGCTAAAGATTAAGGATTAATAATTTATCCTTTAATATTCTTAAAACTTAAAGTTAGGCATTGTTGTTAGATTTTTAGCAAGCCTATAACCTTAAACCGTAAATATGATCCTCTTATATCATAAAGAATGAAAATACACTTTTACTCATTATCTATCAGAAGTACAGTGAAATATTATCCCTCTTGTAATGGTGCTCGATATATGGCAGTTTTAAATATTAGTATTTAGGTATTTTCTAGAACCGCAAAGCTCACAAAAAATAAAATACTGAGGATCTGAAAAAGAATTAACCAAATTTTTGAAACTTAAATGAAATCTTATTTCTGTCATCTTTAAAGCAATTCACAAGTAATCACTCAGTAATCCCTCTTCAAATATGTGTTGAGAATATTTTGAAATATCAAAGAATTTTTTCACTGTAGAAATTTAATTTTTTTATATGTTAGCCCTTTGACTACTAACGGGACATACATGGCCCACTAAAAGTTTAAAAATTAGTGCTGGGTTAAAAATTACTTCGAATCTTTTGAATGTTTGGGATCATCTTCCAATAGTTGGAAAATCAAGACGCCACTCTGCTCGTTGTACACAAATGAATATATAGAAAAGAACAAACATGAGTTGCCAAATGTGTAATGTAGTAATAAAAATGTTAATAAAATTCGTAGTCAAAACGTTAAAGGTAAGTTTTCATTGTTATTTAAGATTCTTTTAGAATAGAAAAATCTTTTTAAATTGGAAGCTATTTTTTTGTTTTAAGTTAAAATATCATTTTCCTTCGCTTTGGGGAGGGGCCAGAAAATACGTTGGAATAGTTCATCAGATAATTCTGGATACTGAAAAGCAAGGATTTGTTATGGAAGAGATATTTCAATTGGTTTCAATGTTTCCTGTTCCTCATAACGTGGCATTTAAATTGAATTCGTCTTCTTTCATTTTCGTTTTTGTTCATTAATTTTTTGAATTTGGGTTTTACTTGTTTCAAGAACTTTAACATTTGTTAAATTCTTTTGTACATTATTAGAATTTTTTTAATTTATTGCTTATGAATTTCAATTTTTGGTCTTTGTGAAGAATTGGTTCTAGATTTCTTTCTCTATATATTTACTAATTAATTTTCAGCTGCATAATGCGCGAAAATTCTTGATAGGATTATACATTTTTCTTTTAAAACAAACTTCGAGGGGTGTGGAGCATACTAAAACATTCATTTTTTTTTTTTTTTTTTTTTTTTTTTTTTTTTTTTTTTTTTTTTTTTTTTTAGGAATGTAGGGTTTAATAGGACGGGTTAAGGCAGGAACGCAAAAAGACGACACGAGAGGAAAATGTGTTTATGTATAAAATCAACGCAAAGTGCTTCTTTGTAGCAATACAGTATTCACAATAAATGCTCAAATATGATCCTCTTATATCATAAAGAATGAAAATACAGTTTTACTTATTATCTATCAGAAGTAAAGTAAAATATTATCCCTCTTGTAATGGTGCTCGATATATGGCAGTTTTAAATATTAGTATTTAGGTAAATTGCGACCACCAGCAGTAATACATGCTTGGTAACGTCGCAGAAGGGATTGACGAACATTTTGAAAAACGACAGGCATTTCGCGCACGCTTGCAGCTGCAACGTATAGTCATGCAACGAGATCCTCCGGTGAGTCAACAGGAGTTTCGTAAATGATGCTCTTCAGATAGCCCCATAAAAAAAATCCAAGCTGAATAAATCTGGCGAACGGATTGGCCATCGAACGGGTCCACCACGGCCAATCCAATGTCCCATCCAAGAAATTGCGGACCCGCACGTTGTTATGGGCTGGTGCACCATCATGCTGGAATCACATGCGATCACGAACGACGGCCGGAACATCCTGCAGCACCTCTTGCAGAAAACAATGATAACATAAGCCACTTGTACGTGCTGGTAAGAGGTATGGGCCTATGAGGTAGTCGTTAACAATATCCGCCCACATATTCACAAAGAAGCGGGTTTGGAATGCATGTGGACGTGTGCCGTGTGGATTATGAGTTGCCCACACGTGCATGTTGTGGCTATTGAAGATGCCGTCCTGTGAGAAAGTTGCCTTGTGCGTGATAAACACATCTGATGGGAAATCCGCCAGCGCCGCACACTGCTGTAAGAACTAAGGACAGAAATGAACTCGAAGAGGGTAATCTGTCTCTTGCAAGGCTTGGACTCTCTGCAAATGGTATGCGTGCAAACCATTTTCATGCAATACTCTTCAAACGGTGGAATGACTCAGCTGCAGACGACGTGCAATAGCTCTTGTACTTGTCTGAGGTGATTCATGCACAGTGTTCAAGATGGATTCTTCAATGCGAGGTTGTCGTGTACTTCTTCCACTCCTAGTGTCAGAGGTGGCTTCAAATGACCCGTTTTCACACAGAGACAGATGCAACCTCTCGAACATTGTGTGCTTCGGCATACGCCTGTTCGGAAACCGTTCCTGGTACAACCGTAGCGCTGCTCTACCGTTCCCATTAGTAGCACCAAACATGAGATGCATGTCAGCTTTTTCTCTGTGCGTAAACTTACCCATCACGCTCGTATTCAGAGTTGCGAATGATCCTCTGATGCATCGGATCGTGGTTTGTACAACTCACTACCGCCCTCTACCGCTGCATTGCCAGCCAATCACTGCTGTAGTTCCTATCACTGTTAATGTTTCTTTTTTTGAACATCTATTGTGAATATTGGTTGCTGCAAAGAAGCACTTTGCGTTGATTTTGTACATAAACATATTTTTCTCTTGTGTCGTCTTTTTGCGTTCCTGCCTTAACCCATCACTTTAGACCCTACATTCCTATACAAAAAATGCATGTTTTAGCACGCTCCACCACCCCTCCAAGTTTGTCCCATGATCTATGAAACACCCTGTATATGTAAAATAGATTTGGAGATAGCTGTAATATACTGGCTATAGCTTATTGTATTTTAATAACCTGGAAAGGCCCGAGTTCGAATTCTGGAGAAGGCATGGATGTAAAACTGTCTGTCCCTTCATAGGAGGTAACGGTGGCCTCCACAATAAAATGGCCACCACTTCTGGCCTTAGGAGTGAGGTCACTCCTAAGGCCAGAACTGGTCGTTATAGGCAAGTACCCGCCACTGGAAAAAAAAGTGTTTGATTCACATCACTATGGGCGCAATATGCAGCCAACAATTTTAAATTTTGTTAGCTTAGCACATCGTAAGACAATGGATGATAGACAGAAGAGAGCGGCGACGTGGTACTTTGATGGAAAGAAGCAAGAAAATGACGCATTCAGAAAACAAAGCGTGAGACAGATTAAAAAAAAAAAAAAAAGTTTTGATTTCAATAGAAATCTTATTCAGTGACTGAGTAAAAGGTATCTACATTGCCGCATTACTTATGATGCAAATTAATTTTAAATTAAAATGTTACAAATAGTTACTACTTTTAGGACAAAAAAGGGAAATAAATTAAAATGAAGAAGATGGACTTTTTGCCAATTAAAATTAAAATTTCGCTTTCATAGTGAACACACATATATATACCTAATGTATACGTATGTATGTGTGTAATATGTTTGGGAATAGCTGTCATAGATTACTCGCTATAATAGGCTGGAGCTGGTTTATTGAAGAGACAGAATGATGGCTCATTGTAATAAATTGGAGAACCTTTACTGCGTAGATAGAATGCTAACACTTACAGACACACGGAGGCGTATAGATTCAACATTAATGGATAACACAGTTCTTTAAAAGTATAACTAATTCACACATCATTATGGGCGCAATATGAACCCCATACTTTTGTCAGCTTAGCACATCGTAAGACAATGGATGATAGACAGAAGCGAGTGGCGACGTGTGACTTTAATCCAAGCAAGCCGGAAAGTGCTTAGTTATCCAATATGGATGCTTATTAACAGGAGAAAGGATTCGATTTGGAAATTTTAAGTTGCGAATTATCTACGTCATCATTGTTATGTAAAGGGTGAAAAGGGGTAATACCCATATCAAAATGAAGAAGAAAAGGGGTTATTGCAAATTAAAATTAAAAGTTCGCTATATGTGTTTATATTTTAGATTAAAAAGAAAAAGGTCAAACGATAGAAACTCGTTTTATCAAAAAACATTAGAACGTTAGCGTATGAGGATAAACATTCTGTATAATATAGTATATACAATTCAATGACAAAAGTCAGAACGAAAATGATTTTCCTCGAGGACATAGCCGTTAGGTTTCAAACTATGTTCCGTCATTTTGTTCATCAGGTCTCTCATATAAAATAACGACATATAAAAATGTAAATTAGATGCGATACAAAAACCTAACATTATATAATGTATAGTCCAATTTAAAAGTCTGCAAGTTTTTTTTTTCTCAAAATATAAGTTTTTAAGCTTCTTCAAATTTTCTCTGCAGATATCATAAGAATTATTCTAAATTTGGACTCGTAAATTTTCCAAGAAATAATTGTAAAAGTTCAAAATTCTTGAATATCATTTTGCCATTTTTACAGCCCTTCCTTCTCTTGAAAATGTTTCGTAAAACTGTTTTATACAGTATAAAATAAAAAAAAATTATTTTGCATCTTCATTAAATTATATAAATAAATTAATATATATTTATTCATTATAAAACAATCCACATTTTCTTACAGTAAAGCAATGTAAAATGAACTTTAGAAATTAATAAATATAGAAAAGTGATAAAACACAGTACAATAACAAAACAAACTTTGATAAAAGTAGGCAGATCCTCTCTACAAGCGAATGAATGTACAGTCAAAAGTCTTTAATCCGGACGTCCATAATTCGGAATGATCTATAATCCGGACCTCAAAGCTACAAACTTTATGCGCATGCGTAAACACATGCATAATACCTTAACGCATGCGCGTTTAATGTATAACAGACGGTATAAGCTAAGCTAAAATTATCTAATTATCTATTTCAGTTAATGTTGCAGATCGCGTTGTTCCTTAATCTTCGAATTGGATTCGGCTTATTATTTTTTGAAGACTGTTAGAGCAATTTTATAAAAGCAAGCTTGAACTTTCGATTATGTCATAAAGAATTTCCGATTCTGGAGCTGCCAAAGGATCTACAAAGCGAAAGCATGTTTCGATGTCCATCAAACAAAAAATGGATAAAGGCATATCCTTTGTTTTTCTAACCATTCCGAAATCTGTTGATCAATTTCACGCTACTCTGCGGGGAGGGGGGGGGAATGTCGCGGCGCGCAATGAACTGAAAGTTGATCTGTCAGCACTATCCTTATCTTCAGGGCAGATGTTTTTATTTTATTCGGCTGATAATTCCTTACTAAATGTAGTATTTGATCTCGATGTACTCCGTCTTTGATATGATTTAAATCAAATTCCTCGTTATTATAAATATCATGAATACACATCAAATAGTTTTCTGGTTGCAATTTTCTAATTTCGACTATGCGTAATGTATGCTTTACGCATGCGTGCGTTGAAAGAAATTTTTAATAAAGTAAATAAATAAATATTAAGCATTTTTTTTGTAAATATTGATACCCTTTAGATCATAATTGCTCTTAATTTCATAAATTACGGCTTCATATTTTTAATTTTATAATTTCTGCATGCCATCTTACCAAATTTAAATTTATGATCTATAATCCGGAAAAAATGATAATCCGGAATCGGCGAAGTCCGGATTAAAACCTTTTGACTGTAGTAACTATTTGCTGATGGCTGTGGGATGCTTAAATAAAATAGCAAATAAAGACCTTGTTCGTTGTACAAAGTAACTGGCTTTTAGCAATGTATAAATAAATGTATTGAAGTTATTAATTATGAATTATGCCATAAATATGCTTCAGTATTACATGCATCAAATATAAACATAAATATACGAAAATTCAAATTCAAATTAAGGCTAACTTGTATATTCAAGTTAGATCTTACAAATTTAACTGCGGAGAAGGGCGTGTGCTGTTACTGCTTGTATCTTCCCGAAAGAGAAGATACAAGCAGTAATACACATAATGTGAATCACAGGGTTGGAGTACTGTGCGATATTTAATCGTCTAAATATCTTGTATTTTGACCAGATTGTAAATATTGGTTTAGAATTTTTTCTCTTCTCATCTCCAGGTTTTAGGAAAGGTATACAACAAATTTCGGACGGAAAAACTCTGGGAAGAAGGAAAGGGAAAGTTGTGATAGGAACTAGATTGACAGAGAATTAAATTATAGAATACTTTATCACAATTATAGTTTAGAGTCTTCATCTGGTTAAAAAGTTATATCCAGGTTGCAGATACTTTAAAAGGTTTAAAGCTATTGTAATAAATAATTTGGAAAATACAAATCAATTAATTTTTAGTTGCAACAGATATTTTACTATTTATAACAGTTAATTTAAATTCATTTGCTGGATTAAAGATCTGAGCCTAGTATAATGCACCATTTCGGAATTTTTTTTTTAATAAGAGAATTTGATTTACCTATTTTAAAAGTAACTTCAGAATTTTGTTTCCACATTTTCTAAGGGTCTGAAAGGAGGAGAAACTCTTTTGGTGTTAGGATACTGAAATTCTTCATAGATGCCTAAATCTTTGAAACTAGGCTTTGAAATACGTGTCATGTATTTTCTTGTTTATATTATGGTAATCATCCGACCTTTTCTGAGCAATTTTTCTAGCTTCTTCAATTAGAGGATATATAGATTTTGATTAATGGATCATATGATAATTTTCCATGCATTAAACTAGATGGTGGGAATTTTGTTACAGAATGTGGTGTATTATTATACTCTTTAGTCACTTGAGGCTACAATGTTTCCCATGCGATATTACCTTGATAAGAATTTATATTTTAATTAAGTTGTCACAGTTTGATTACCCCACCAGCAGCCGGACGGTAAAGTCGCTGAATACTGGTAGTTCGGTCCGAGGTTCCGCGAACGGGCTAGCTACATGGGCGTTTTCGTGGTTTTCCCCATGTGTAACGTGTATACGAATCAGTATTCCTTAGGAAGTCCTCCACGAAGGCATGCCTTTCCTTAGCTGAGCTTGAGTTCGAGGCTTTGCCGTAATCACATAAACCAGCCGAAACATATTTCGATTAAATCTGTCTACTTTGCCATTAATTTGTAGTCTATTAGCAGTAGTTAATAATTGCTTAACATTATGTTTTTTTTTTTTTTTTTTTTTTTTTTTTTTTTTTTTTTTTTTTATGCTTAAATTTCGAAGAAGTATAAATTCTTTCACTTAAAATTTTCTTTGGAATTTGAGTTTGAAAGTTTTATTTCAGACAATTTATATAAGTATCAGTACTTATACTTTTAGAAAAAATGTTCATGTATAATGAATATTATGAGCTATAATAACATGAATATACCTTTTTATAAAAATAAATAATAATTTAACTCTAAGTTTAATCTTTGATTTTCGTTCCATTACTGGTCCAGATAGCGGCAATTTTGTTAATTATTAAGATATTCTGAATACATTTAGTAATTTGCAATTTGGAACAGTTGCCTAATTTCGGAAGTTAAATAACGAATATTTGCAATTGTTTATATATCTATTATTATCAGCGAAACTCTTTAAATAAGGTCTTATTGTTCTAGGTTACGCTGTAAATAGTTTTCAGAGTAGAAAACTCGAAGTCAACTGTACCGTTGTTGGGAATCGAAACACACAGATCTTACAACTATTTTGTGATAACCACTACACCTCAGAGGCACGTGGGAACACTGCTTAAATTCTTCACATCGTTTAATCATGCGAAAGGATACTGTCTGACATAGATTAGGAAAAGGATAACAACAAAGAAGAAAAGAAAATACTTTATAGAAAACAGAGAAATAGAAAATACTTCATAAAAACAGAGTCATTTTCTTCTTATCGTTACCTTTTAATGATTTCTTTATCTTTGATATATATACTGTATAGCTTATATACATACCTATCAAAGACACGAAATAATACAATCAACTAAATTTAATTTTTGACCTAATGAAAAGGAACCAAAATGTTTTTTTTTTTTTTATTTATTTTTATGTTTCAGGTCATCCATCCATGGTATGAAACAAGACTTGGATGCAGTACAAGAAGATGAATCTGACGAGGAAGGTGATGCTGAACTACAAGAACAAGAAAGTAAATACACGAAATTTTATTATTATTTCTAACTTCATATATCTAGTAACTACAAAGCCTTGTAACAAAATTTCAGAACAACAGAATTCGTTTTATTAAATACAAATCTTAGACAAAATTGGTTTTTCTCCCTAAACCACATTATATTGGCTAACTTTACCTTTTTAATTTTATTTAACTCGTGAAAGCGTTTTCCTTAGTAATTCCTGTGTATACAGTAATCGCATAAATTTGGCAACGCACACATTAAACATTTTATATATTTAAAGTACCAATTTAATTGCTTCAGTCGACGTATTTCCTAACTATTAAAAAAATGTTTTTCTTCTTTTTGCCAATGCAACAACATTCTTTCATTAACGAAATGCAGGTGGCATTGGAATGCTGACAGATCATAAAAGCTGATCGTTCGTGTTACATGCTTTGCTTTGTCAATGGCACTTTTATCTTAGCGGTAATAAAACAAATACTCATCATTTAATTATCAAACCGTATATTATTGGCTCTTTCAAATGGTTTTGGATTTAACTCATGTTTGAGTGTCGTATTTTACATAAAAAAGTAAAACCATTCTGATTGCACAAATCACTTTAAAATATTAATATGATTACTGTACTGTTGAATATTTAAAAGTATAAATTGAATGCCAATATTTATTTTAAAATATTTGCTAAAAATATGTTCTAAATTCTTTTTGCATATTATATCACCCTGCTCATAGAGTCTACTTTTGCCAAGTGCCTAGGGATATCATTTTATAATGAGATCTATTTATTTTCATTTGAGAATAATTTATTGTTGAAAGTAATAGCTTCCTTTTCATAGTAACTTTTTTTAAAAGTAGGTAATGCAGAATTATTTATTCACTTTAGTAATGCATATTGTATAAACAAAACATTAAACTGCTCAAAAAATGTCTTTTTCACAATTTTCCAGCTGATGTGCCCGAAGAGCATACCAACAATCAAACGGACAATAATGAATACTGGCTGTATGATAAAGCACTCAAGAAAAGCACAGTGAAGAGATTATCGGATGAAGAAAAGCAATTCTGGTCAGAGCTCATAAATACTTACCTTTACCCCCTGGCAGATGATCCAGAAGAAAAAGCTAAAGTATCCAGGCAGCTCATCGATCTCCGAAACAAAGTTGTATTTGGAATTCTAATGCTTAATTCTTTGTACATCCTTATTGTTTTCTTGTTACAGATGCAAAAAGAAACTTTGCATATTAAATGGCCACTTACGACCAGTGGCAAAGCGAATATCACTTATATTCCAGCATTCCAAGAAATTAGGATTGATGAAGAATACCTTCAGCTGGAGCCTATAAATCTCGTATTTGTCTTCTTTTTTACTTTAATTTTAATCATTCAATTTATTGGAATGCTGTTTCACAGACTAGAAACAATGTCTCATATATTGGCCTCAACAAATTTGTTGGATTTGCCTTCCGGAGATGTTGAGGAAATTACACTTTCGGAAATAACTGATTTACTAAAGAAACAAGGTTTAAAGGATGATGAAATTGTTGAAAATGTTCTTGACGCTGCTCCAGACAGACGCAGACGATTTACTTCTCAATACCTAGACGTACCCCAACGAGAAAAACTAAAGTTCAGATCTCTGAGTTTTGCTCTTGAACATGATTTGCAAAAGATTCTCGACAAAGGTAAGAATTTCCAAATTCATGTTCGGCTTTTTAAGTTAAGCATATTTCTCCTCCCCTTCCCCCTTAAATCCCATCAATCTCTAACCTCTAAACAATATAGATGTATTTCGAAGATTCGTCTTCGAAAAATAAGAATATAACAATTATGGCCACATTATTTTTTAAAAACTAAATGACATTTTAATTTTTATATGATCTATTTACGACGAAAATTCTAACAAGAAATTTCTTCTATCATGTATCCAAAATATGTTTTCGAAATTAGCATCCGGACATTTGATATGCAGAGGTGTCTTTAACAGTATTTGTATATTGAGGCGCAAAATTTTTAATCGGTGATATGTAGTGTAATTTGAGTCACGTGAGGACGATTTTTTTATTTGAATAATTCGGCATGGAAAGCAATTTTTATATACATACTTTTCTATTCAGTGAACCTCATCCAAAAATTTAAGTATCTCTTATTTTGACTAAAAGTATCACATGATCTTATATGCACTGTAACCATTAACTTCTAGATACTAGATAATAAGCAAAAAAACGTATTTGAATTGAATTTTTAAACATTTGTTTCGATAGCTGCTAAACCTTGATCTCTGGGGCATGCTCTCCACCTAACTGTCATAAAATATCAGGTAAAAGCAGCCACCATTTCATTCCAGATTTAGCTTTTTTCATTCGGGGATCTTGACATATCGATAATCGATTTTATCTCAAAGATCCCTCTCATTACCCATATCTGTCATTCTAAAAGATATGGACAGTTCAATTCAGCATTTCCACAGAGGTTCAAACCATCTTTTTACAACCCTAATAGTATGGTATTTGATATGCTGTTAAAATAGAAAAGTATAGTGAACATGTTGGAAACTCAGAATTGTCCAAGATATTTAGCTATAATCAAAGTTTTCTTGAAAATAACCATGACAAACTCCAGAAAAGCAGATCCATTCTATGACATTCGTCACAACTATTGTTGTCTGGTTCACACTCATCTTTTCCTACAATTGTTTTCCACTAGTCCTGAATCAAGGATATGTGATCCAATAAACTGTCAATTGATTTCTAGCATTGGTAACAGCGTGCACAGGTACATTGTTACAATAATATGCTAAATAGTTGCATGACCAGTGTAACTCAGAAAATGGAGATCTTTTTAGTATACAGGTGCCTAAGGTTTTCGCAAATTACAAATAAACAGGATAGAAGGATTTCCCGCCTCATTTTCTGCAAATTTATCTTCTTTCATTCTCTCTATTAGTTCAGTAATTTTGAGGGCTGTTTTATCTTTTTCTACCACTGTATTCCGCTGGTCGAGAATCAAGGATATGTAAGCCGATAAACTGCCAACTGATCTCCAGCATTTTTGACAGTGTCCAGAGGCACATTGTTCCAAAAGTATGCTAAACAACCACGTGACTGATTCAATTCATAACATGGAGGTCTTTTTAATATACATGTGCCTAAGGCTCTTGCAAGTTTAAAGTAAGGAGGATAAAAGGATTGCCAGCCTCATTTTCTGCGGAACACTCTTCTCTCATTCTGTTAGTTGAGTAATTTTATAAGCTGTTTCAGCCCCATTTCTCTTTCATCTACATATGAAGCAAGTATATGATATCTTGTCTGATATATCCCCAGATTAATTGAGATGCTGCATACTAAATTCTCACAAATGTTATATCTTATACAAAAAGTCAGTTTATTTCTCTTAATGTGGCATTTTCATGTTCATCTTTGAAAATTTTTGTTTTGTGCAAGCGTTAAATGTCAAGCATATGTATTACTTGCATCCAATAAAGGGATATACTGGATATGTAAATCTTATTTTTCCATGATAATATACAGTCCAGATATAAAGGATGTGGAAGTGCAAAAGTGTTATCTAGTGCATTATAAATAGCAGCTTAAGAAGTTTTGGTATTTATGTCATGTTATAAAATACAGTCGCTGATAAATAAGTTTTAGTCAAAATTTTGCTTTTAAAAAATTGCTTTCACACAATATTGATATAGATCTTGACTCTGATGTATTATTAATAACTATTGTTGACCCTTAAAATATGCAAGAGTTAAAAACCAATACTTCCTGCAATTCGAAATCTGCATATAATTTTTAAATCCTTGAAACTCAATAACTAATATCCTGCTTTTGATTCGAAGCCATAGTAAAATAAATAATAGACAAGCACATATTGTATGCATTCTTACATTAAAGTAATAAAGAAAAATTACATCTATAGCAGGTATTCCCATCCTTTTCTTGTGTTGACCTTTTTAAAAAAGTGGTTTTCTTCCTTACATTTTTCTATATACAGCATACATAATCATAATACAAATAATTATCATTTCAAGACAACAATTAGACTAAGAATATAAACAAAAGTTTTGAAATAAAAATAAACCATTTTTTTCTTTCAAAATTTTTGTTCATTTGATTTCTGTTTATTATCTTTGTATTACTATTGTTTTTGATTCTACAAATACAAACAAGCTTTCAGAACCAAAATCATGGATTCTAACTGCACAGATGTTTGATGTTAATATGACTGCGCTTGATGTATTGATACAATTTTTTTTTTAATGTTTGGCATAAAATTTCTAACTTAATTCATAAATCGTCTTGTCAAAAATATTCAATCTGTCTCTTGTTTCCCGTGGTAAATTACTGACTTGCTTAAAGCCGGTTTTCACTAGGTAAGGAAAAAGTTAATAATGTTAATTCATTAATAACTTTTATTTTGAGATGTTGCTCTGGGATGACTTTTGATTTCCAAAACTTAGTATATCTGTATGTTTGGAATAAGACTTGAACATACTTCTTCAATACCATCACCTCTTCTTGCATCAAAATATCAGCATCAGATATATCGCAGTTCAGAGGTTTATGATCCATGCTGAAACATTCGAATTTTCAGTGCTTTGAAAGTGAACATAAGTGAACATTGAAATCTTCTAAATTTTCCAAGTGACTTGTATATAACAATATACCTTCTGAGGAAGTACAATTCTTTTCTATAACAGACAATCGTATTCAGTTATCAAAATAATGGAATACTTTTCAATTCAATGTTGACGTAAACAAGTCAACACTTTAGAATGAAAAACGAAGATAATCACTAGCTTCAATGAGAGTGTTGTCTCTTCCTTGAAATTTTGTGTGGCACTGAAAAACGAATATATATAAGCTAAGTAGAATGCGTGTCTTTTAATTTTATTAATTGTATCCCGTAAGTTTGTCAACTTCAAAAAAAAAAAAGAAAAAAAGAAAAAAATTCTATCATGGTATTAAAAAGGTTTATAAAAGACTGCAAATAGTTAGTTACCCCTAGAAGAGCCGGCATACTTCGGTGTAGAGAAGCAAATTACGATTTTGCACTCTTTGATATTACACACATTGCATAAACATGTATGTATTAAAAATAGTATTGATTTTTAAAATTTATGAAATAGTTTATTTTATATTATATCTTCCGTACTACACAATATAACTTTATAGTAGTAATCATTTAATTATTAATTTTACATATAGTATATATATATATATATGTATATGTTGTTGTTGTTTTTGTGATCAATGGCATCTTGATTATGCTGGTCAACTACTGGTGCATATTTGGCTATTGACCCCATTCGGAATTCCTGTTCTATAGTATTCTATCATCTGCTTAAATGATGAATTGTCTGTCTTTCATCACCTATATTAATATTACTCTATGTGCTACAAAGTCGTTGATGCTACATGTAGATACTAAAAATGAAAATTTTATTGCAAAAGAAATGCTTGAAAAATTTGTAGTACATTTCGTGCAATTCAACGTTTTCTTAATGTGCAATTACTTTTCTATTTCTTCTGACCAATGCCAGATAAATAGATACATTTCATGTGCAAATTATTGTTTTACTTATAGTTCGTAGGAATATAGCAGACAGAGTATAAACTCACCAAGAATTATCGAAAATCGAGTTTTACTAAAATGGCGAAATTTATTGATTACTGAATAGTTCAGAAGATGATAAGAGTCATACAGTGTATTTTTAACAGACACTCATGACACCTGAAATCATTTCAATATCCGGAGAAGATGGCTGCAGAATTATGTCAATAGCTCAATATGAATTACAGTTCATTTTTTTTACTTAGCCTTGCTTATTCATCGTCAGTGGCACCACATATCTTGTCTCCATTTCTAAATATATGTAGTTAACATTGTTTGTCTGCTAGGTCTTCGTATTACTCTAAAAATTTTTTGAATACATTTATTTAAAAAATATGTGTTTAAGCAAAGCCACAGAACTCAAACCTGTATAATTCAAGGGTCAGCAGTAATGTAATGCCTTTTTTAAAATATGTTTATTAATTTCTTATTTAAAACGAAATACAATGTTTAACACTGACAGGATAAAACCATGTTTTAAACATTTATAAAACAGGTGCTTTTGCAGATAACCTATCTGCAGAAGTGTTTTAGCAGTCAACTTTAAACATTATATTTCGTTTTGATTTGATTTGATTTTAACCATGTGTGCTTTTTAATTCTTACATTTTAAAATTTTTCTCGTTTTACGTGCTTTAGATCCTAAATTCACAAACAAAGTGAGAAGACTGAGCAAAAACCCTGAAGCTCTTGAAGCTTTAAAGAGGAGAACTTCCTGCCATCAATTTAATTTTCCTATGAGAATGGGCACTCCTCAGTTATCTATGCGTCATCAAGTGGCTATATTAGACAAAGCATTTGGGACACCAAGCAGCAGTCTACGTTCCTCTTACATTAATCCTACTTTTGAAGATATTTCTGACACTGAGAGTGTTAATAGCATACAAAAGATTGTACCTTCCTCTCGAAGTCCCATTTTTAAAGCCAAAACAGGTAATGCTGACTTGCCATCCACGCCAAATCTTTCATCTCTACAAAGAAAAGTTAATAAAGTAAAAACACTTCAGGAAGAGCAAAATAAGTGAGAATCAGGTTCAAGTTTAATATCATTCTCAAAATTTTTCCAGTTATCAAACAGATAAAATAAAGAAGTGCCAAATAGCTAAAATTGAAGATCTTTGAACTAGAATAATGACACAACTATTTAGTGAAAGTAGTTTAAAAGAATTGAGAAAAATTGCTTCCTTTACATGAAACACTCAATTACAGCTGAAACTGAATGCAAGCGTTAAATTTCTTAAGAATAAAATCCTCAGACACCTACACATTGAGATGTGAGAAATTTCGCATACAGTTATAACTTTATTTGAAGCTTGAGTTGTTAATTACAATTTATATTATTATTCTATGATTAAAATTCATTTTATGTAAGCATTATGGCTGTAAATACTTTTTTGCATGGTGTTTATGGTATGACACACAGCAAAATGAAGGTGTAAAATAATATTTGCTGATCATAATCAGTATTATGGTAGTTAGCAATAATTCTTACAATTATTTTTGTAAATGCTATACGGTTTTCTCAGCTTTTATGAATATTTTAAAAATTTTTATTCATTTACTACAAACTTCAAACAAATCCATGAATTTCAAATTTTATATATTTTATAATTATTACATTATTTTCACACTTCAATTTTAATTTTGGCTTCCTTAGAACATTTGGTAGCTGGAAACATGAAAGCTCATTAAACAACATTAAGTTGTCTACTAAAATGCTAAATGATCCTTTCTTAAATCTTGAAAGATATTATAAATACTACATTAAAGTAAGAATAATCTGTGTATGTATAATATGAAACTGTATAAAATATGAAACATCATTCACCCATATGGAAATCATACTCTCACGTAACAATGTTATTAACAAGTAAGAATTTTACTAATATATAAATCACAATTAAAAAATACATATGTTATTTTCATTATGTGACAGTTATTTAAGCCACTATTTTGTATCTGGTAAACTTTTTTATTTTATTTATGTGGTGTATTTTATCTTATTTATTTACTTTGTTTTACTTCTGTTTATGGAAAGTTCTTGGATGCAATTTTTATAAAATGTTTATTGTAAGTCCTAATCGATAAAATAGACTGATTTTCCTCATAAATTTTGTATTCTTTCCCTGCAATAAAATTACTTCACTAATCTTTATTTTTCAGATTGGGGAGGGGAGAGGAGAGGTCCACAAATTGTGCTTTACATTCCAATTATCAATACATTCAACACATTATTAGAAATACTAGATAACCAGTACATTTAGTAAAAAAAATCTGTTGTATAAATTTTTAATTTATGCAACAGAGATTATAACAATAGATCTGATTAAACATACCCAATGGTATTCATACTATATGCCAGCGCAACCCCATAAAAATACAAAGGACTCAAAAAAAACAATTTTATGATATCAATTAGAGCTGCAACCCCTAGTTATATACCATCAATCCAGACTTTCTAGGATTTTTATCCAAGTGATATTTAGCCATGCACCCCCAAATGGAATAGCGATTCACAGTTTGAATAGTACTGCTCTAGTCTATGCAAAAGAAAAATGTATATAAATGTATTGGAGCATGGCCATATACAGCAAATACCATAGTATCATAACAATATTTAAGATATTGTTTCATTTAAGCAGGTAATAATATATATGTCCATATGGAAACAAATCATTAGGTTATTTGAATAATATGAGGGCTATGGGTGTAAAGTGATGGATATCTTTGAGTGAGGAGAACTGTTTTAGAGAAACTGACTCATATTCACATTACACGTCAGACAAACCAAACCATACAGTCAGTCTGTAATAAGATACATGGGGTCAACATCTCAGGCATAAGTATAAACAATTCATCAATAATTGCAGTATTAACAAAAATAGCAAATCTGTAGTTAAAAATTAAGGATCATCCACACTCAAAGTTAGACTGGGATGAAGTTAAAATTGTCAGCAAAGGCATCTAAGGAAACAGCCCTTAAAATTAGAGAATCAATATTACACAATAAGGACTCGGATACATCATAATAAGGAGTTCACAGTTTATTTGGAGCCATTCTTAAAAACTACAGCAGATGCTACTAAAGCTACAGATGAAATCAGTATAAAGTGCAAAGGATGGTGTGTAGAAACAAGGACAAGGGGGGGGGACATTATAAAGTTACAAATGTATGAAAGTTTTGAAAGAACTGAGCCCCACCGGGGGTTAAGCAGTTAAAAACTACAGAATGCTAGTAGTTCATCCTTGGTTTAAACCCAGACAAATACGCTGGCTGCATGGTTAGTTTGTGTGATTTCTTCATGCGTAATGTGAATATGAACTAATATCTCATAAAATGCTTCAATGAAGGCATCTCTACTTTTGGCAGATAGCCCTCACGTGTTTTGCTATATTGAAATAACTGAAAAAAAAAGAACTGAGTATACTAACATAATTTTAGACCAGTGAATTTAATTTGGCATTTATACTATATATGCCAAACAATAATCCTGAAGACAAAATCTTCTCTTCTTGTATACAAGGTGTTCATAAAAGTTCTTAGGCAGCCTTTATTTTCACAATTGTTAGTCCTAGATATGTACTTATAAAAACAAACATGTTTAAATGACACAATAAATATTCATGTTATAATATTTCACAATAAAAAAAAATAATTTTGTAAAAATAACAAATCTAATTTTTTACAGTTTTACATTCCTTATAATTATATTTTATAAAAATTATACTCATTCTGAAAAATAAAACACAAGATGGTTGATGCCTGTGTAACAAAAACTGACCAAAGTATTTAATTTCAGATATTGGGATCTTTTTTTAGATTTTCCCATGACAAAAAGAATTTTTTATCACGTCTCTTGAATTAGTTAAAAAATAAATTAGGATAATTCATAGCTGAATTTCTTCCTAAAGTGATATTCCTTTGTGATTCACTAGTGTGTAGCATTCTTTAATTTATAATTTTACTATATCTGGTATGCTGAAAGCAGTTTTGTATAAGTAATTTTTGAATTTTCAAATTCTAAAAATATGTTAATAATATTTACATGCAGTTTTATTATGTTAGGATCAGAATCCAACAATGATAGGGGAAAAAAGGTCATTGGATTAGAAAAAAATTTCCTTTTTAATTTATGCAAATAATGTTAGGAGTTGTTGTGTGCCAATACATGAAGCTTTTTACTGTTTTTTAGATTACAAAATCTACTAAGATTCTGTGAATGATTTCATGTTTAAAAAATCTGCACTGATAAAATTTGTTCATGATGACCTGCATATCTGTCCTTATCCTTAATCTGTTAACATCAGGAACCTTTTCTCAAAGTGATATTTCATTTTTAGTAACACACAAATTTAAATACTTCACTATTAATAACCCCAGATGATAGTAAAACAAATATTTTAAATGAAATTTTGATGTCAGAAACATCCTTAGCAGAGTCAGTGATATTTTTAGACTATTATGTTACATTATGGTACCAAGCATTTATCATCCACCTACCTTGACAAATATTCCCAAAAATGCAAGAACTTTGCCATCCATGTAGCCTCCTCATGTATAAACTTGTTGTCAAAGATCTGCTATCTGGCAAAGCATAAGGCTTTTAATTTCTAATTTGAACTCACTTTGTTTGCAATTGCTGAACAAATTGATAGATTTAAAAGCTATTGATGCATTTCTCAAAAACTTTATTTTTTCTTTTATTTAATAGTAACATGTCTACTGATGTAAATTAGGCATTTAATTTATAATATACACACTAGGTACTTTTAGGAAATCTACTCTATTATTATAGTTAACATTAAATGCTGTGTTGGTCCCTAGGGATCAGCCTTAGACCGAAAAAAAAAAAAAAAAATAGGACTGGTATTTAATGTGTTAATAAAAAGTGTTTTTAGTGCAATATATCATTAGCTGGTAAAGAATCAAATTTTCTCTAAACCAAAAATACCACCCAGTGTCTCTCATACCACATTACAGGTGTAGGTAATACCTATACATGAACATTAGGTTCCTAAAAAATGCTGTGTCGTGCAGACTCATGTTCTATGAATAAAAAAACTGGTGCATCATGTTCCAAATTGAGTCTGTCCGGCCCCCCCCCTTTTTTATTTTCTTAAAAGAGATAAATGTCTATTAAAACAATAATTGGTGAAAAGTATTAGCTATTAATATTACATAATGGTTCCTTCATTAATACTAATCACTATTAAATGATATTTCCTATTTGAGAAAATATCCTCTTCTGAAATTTGTACACTATCTGCTTAACTTTTGCATTCTATGTTTTCAAAAATATATGCTATTTTTGATTTTGTTTGCTTTTAGCTAACAGGCCTTTATAAATTTCATTATACAGAACAAAGCATTAATGAAGTTCTCTCTTAAGTTTTTGCTGTTTTAAAATAAAAAATTTTCATTTAGAAAATTAAATTCCAACTGATTCACTAATTGAAACATAACCTTTCTTCTCAGAGTTTCAAATTTCCTTTGAAAATGATTATCCTTAAATGCTTTGTATTTTAATATGCTGATTGAGACATGAGGGTATTCTTCTGTTATCGGTACCAGATTCATAAACGTATGCATGTATGTAATGTACATATGTTTATATAAACACACATACGTAATTGCATATGCATATACACACATGCATAACACATATATACATACATGCACATGTGTATATACATACATATATTTCTTAATCCAGTCACAATAACAGAAGAGTAGCAACATGAGTTGTTTTGCCATAGGTCCTTAGCAGAGACAAGTTCTTTGGTCATTGTTAATAGTGTTATCATGAGTGTTGCAAAACTGCTGTGTTGTAGGGAATTTTCCTTAATTCTTGAACCATGCCAGAATGAAACTCTATTGTAGAAGTGCCATGTTATATATATAATGTATTATTTTTTATACAAAATATGACTTTCAAAAATGAACCTCTTCTTCTCCACACAGACCATTTCTGGTCAGCCATGGTTTGATCCTTAGCTGTGTTAAAGAGCTTATACCAATGCAGTGCAACATTTTTATAGCATGTTAACATTTTTATACTATGTGTGTTTTTTTAATGATGTTGTTCCCAATGTTTCTTACATATACATCCCATTTCAGAACAGAAATTTTTTAATTTATTTTTATGTTATGTAAAATTTTCCACCAAAAAAGCTCCTTAAACTTTTTACCATACAAATACAGCTCGAACAAGCACAACTAAAGATAGTAGGAAATATACAGTTAGCATTCTAATTGGTATACAGAACGAATATTTCATATATATTTGAAGTGGGAAAAAGAGGAATAAACAAAAAAGTAAATAAAGATGACAATCTAAGTAAAGTAACTGCTAATTCATCCTAACAAGGACAGACATAATGACATATTTTTAGTCATAACAAAATTAAAACATTAAATCGCAAATCAATAATATGTCAATAAAACATTTAAGAATGTGCCAAACAAGATTACCATGCACAAGGCATAGCTAACAAATCAATCACAAAGTGAATTTGGGTCAATCCCATCTGACAGGAGATGATTTCAACATGCAAGAGCAACTTAATCATCACTCGCAGAAATAAACAGGGCGGCTTTCTTAATATCACAACTGGCCTTCATGCCAACTGTCAAGCAAATGGAAGAGTGGCATTCTATGTCACCTGCCATTCGCTTATTGCCACACTTGCTCATTCTGTGTCACTATCTAGCAGACTCCTCAGCACACCTTCTTTTAAACCTTGATGTAACAATACATCCTTGTTTAGTATTTATCATAGTGGCAACATTGTACTAGAATTTCTTGAATAAGTGTAAATTTTTCTTAACACCATTGGTTGTGAAAACAAAAAATGTGAGTAACTTCAGCGTTTCAAACTAAAATTGTAAACTTGTATACTTCTTTTGCGTTTTAATACTCATTAAAATGAATAGCAAATTAAAAAAATATCCCTCTCATAATGCATGAGAATCTGATTACATTTTTACTATGATTAATGGTAATTATTGTTAATAATTTGGTAGACTGAGAAAATGAGTGAAGATACAAGAGAACATTTATGTAATATTAACAGATGTTCTTGCTTTCTGCTTCAGTTTGGTAAATAATCAGGTATTAATTTAAAAGTCAAACAACAAAAATCAGCATT